CTACTACTACTACTACTACTACTACTACTAAGACTTAATATCTCTTCATCAAACAATCTTCAACTCACATAATCATGCTTGCCCGTCTTACAAACATATTCACCCCACCCACCAATCCATCCGTGCTCCTTGTTGTTGGCAACTTTGGTGCCAAAATCCATGTTCTTCATCTCCTACCCGAGGACGACACCATCCAACGCTTCGGCCTCACAACCCCATCTACTAACTTCCGCTACCGCGGAGCCAGAGAGCAGGCGCGCGAACAGATCGGCACAGTCACACTTCACGTTGGAGATGGCGAGTCTGCCGACAGCTTCCTCGACGACATTGAGACACGAATCCGTAAGCTGCGAAATCAGACAGGCAGTGGTGAAGTGACTCAGCTAGTGCAAGACGTCCTTCAGCCCGCGGCACTCGATGCGATTCAAGAAAGAAAGGACCGAGAGCGCTCTATGCGCGCGACGCAGACCTACCCTGTTTATGTTGTTTACATACGCTTGAGCGCAGGGAGGAGTCTGACTGAGCTGACAAGCTTTCCTTAATATAGATTTCTTCAGTTCTTGTGCTCAAGATATGGACAGTAGTTGTGGTGTTTTGAATTAACATTACATGCATTACAGTAATGCATTCGCACAATACTTGTCCTATTTATGAGTAGCTAAGCATGGAGTGCAGTTAGTCAATAGAGTAATAGCAAGCATTTATATCAACAACTCTTAAAGACTTGACAATAATAGTTTAGACTACTAAATAGGCAAACTGCCTCTACGAAATAAGGTATAGAATCTCCGACTAAAAAGAAAGAGAGGGTGAGACATTGAAATCATTGGAGCAGCAACAAGTCACTTGAAACACGGCGTGAAAATGACGCTGCAATTCGCTTCACTGGCGGTCAATTTATGCGTCAATCTCACAAGTACTCACATTCTAGTCTAGTTGTAATGCGGATATCCCCCTTGTAAATGCTGCCTAGAAAGCAGGGGAGACATTTCTATCCCCCCTGGTCGGGCAAATGATAAGAATAGCAGCATCTTGCGGGATTTATTTCTCAATGGATAAGAGTTAATCAATGGAGAACGAGAGAAAGAGTAGTAGTGTGTGAGGGTGGGTGTGTGTTGATCTGACAAGGCAGACTGCAGGATCCACTGAGACTGGAGACTGAGATGAACAAAAGGTGAAACCAGGGGGAAAAACGGTTGACGTAGCCTGCAGCCGAGTTAACCTGTACGATGCTGATCTAAAAAGGGTCCAAAGCAAGAATAATTGAGGAGATGATTGATTGATTCATCCATCACAGCCCAAAAAGCCAATTGTCACGGTAGTTAGTTCATGCTGATGAGGGACAGCTGATCTAATCGGGTAGGAGATGTAGGATAAAAATAGCCTGTCTATCTCTTCCTCACCAGGTCGATTGACAAGGATCAAAAGTCAAACCAAGAGAAAGAGACAAAAATAAAAGTACAAGGGTGTTATGATTGGAATCACGACCTGACAGGCTGCAGCGACGAGAATTTCTTGATTGCCCTAATTAGATACATACTCCATAGCAATGCCAGGCATCCCTTTACTTTACTCCATATGCTTTACTTTTATCTCCCCAGCGTCATGCAAGTCGGAAACCCTCACGTCACGGATTATTTTACGTCAAATAGTAAGAGGAAGAGAGATGTGCCAAATATCCCGCACTGATCCCCTCGTATTACGATAATCATTGATTATTTCCGAAAAGTGTGATGGATAGATCACCATCTGTTCTCTTAACTTTCTCTCTTCAGCAAACCTGTCAGCCTTAACACCTCCCCCTCCCCCTATCTCGGTTGCAAACACACATTCTCTCGTTCTCTCTCTCTCTCTCTATAGACAAGTTGCCAGGGTTCAATTTCCTTGGCTCTGATTTAGATAGATTGGCCAGCCATGCCATTAGCTGCTTAGAACACCGCCGATCCCAACTGGATCGCTGGTTGCACAGCCACCCTATCTGCTGCCCCTCGACTGCAGGTCCACGGTTCAACCGCAGGCTTCACCATTTGTGTGTTAATGTGTTTGTGCGCGGGGGCCGATAGTTTCTTGATGGATCTACATGAATTATTTCCCTAACGGGTGTGCCTTTTTATCTTATTCTTCTTTGGTTTAGTTTATCGTTTTCTGAAACTGTTTTCTACTGTTCAAGTGGTGCAGGTAGCAGAGTTGAGTAATGGTACTAACTCCTGATTGTTGATCAATTATTAACACATACTACTATACTCACACACATACGCTGTAACATCACTACTTAATACAGTACATAATAGCTGAGATGCATCGATCTGGTGCTCTCAAACAGAAGGGAAAAAAATTCAGAGGTCCTCAAACACGGTGACACTCTCCAGGACTTCATCCGTGTCAATATCCACCATCAGGTTATCCGCACAGCTGGATCCCAGCGCGGCATTGTCGACCCACGCCGGTTCCCAGTAATAAATACCCAGTCCGTCCGTGACGCCCTCTACCACCTCTGCCAGCTTCTCGAGGAACTCTTCCTGTCCTGCGGCCGAGAAGGGGATCGAGCTGAGATCCGACGGGAATGAATACTCCGGGTCCGGGCAAGACACGGGCCAGTTCGTCTCCACCACCACCACAGACTTATCGTAGTTCGATTGCATGTTCGTGAGGCTGGTCTGAAGCGCCGACAGGGTAGCTTCCGAGTTGTAGAATGGATAGTACGAGACTCCCATGAGGTCGAAATCCGTGGAGAGCAGCGACCCCGTGGCCAGGACAGTCTTGTAGAAGTATTCTTGTTCCTCCCAGTCCCATCCATTGTCCAGGTGGATCATAATCTTCGGGGTCGTGGCCTGGTTGGAGTCCTTCACTCCCCAGGCGCCGGAGTGCAGCAGCTTCGCGATATTGTCATAGTTGCTGGTTTTGCCCAATGGCCAGAGAAGTCCGCTGCTGATCTCATTGCCAATGGAGACGATCTCTATGTCAATGTCATTCTCTGCGAACGTATTGCAGACGTCGAGCGTGTAGTTATACAGTTGCCAGGTGAGTGTGTCGATGTCCGTGGTCGACCAACCGGTAGGGGTAGTCTGTATACATCTCTTACGTTAGTGTTCCATCTCTCTCTTGCGGTGTCTTCTCTTCCAGCAGTAGGACGGACCTGATCACTGGGATCTGCCCACGTATCACTGAGATGCAGATCCAAGTAAATGCTCATACCCGCGGCCTGAACACGCTTGGCCAGCTTGAGATTATAGTCGAGATCGTACGAGCCATCGCTGGGGTCTACCCACACCCTCTGTCGGATCGAGTTGACGCCATTGTTGACCAGAATATCCTCCAATGCCTGGGTCTCGCCATTCAAGTTCTTATAGCTGATGCCAGCATCTTCCTCGATCAAAAGGGAGGAGATATCCGCCCCGCGGTAGGTCAGGGCGGCGCTGCTGAGCAGAGGCAATGCAGAGAGAAGCAGAGGGTAGATCATCATGGTTGTCATCGACGCTCGCCTCTAATGAGCCTGGTTATCACTCTCACGGTCGGATCCAGCGGTTCGAGGGAGTCAAGCCTGGCACCAGAGCTCTTTTTAAAGGCGCCATCGACTGGCCGCGTCGAGCCATTGTCCACCGGGTCCGTCTTGCAAATGACACGGAGAAGGCAAAGGACAACATCTGCCCATATAGATTAAACACCACCGGAGTTCTCCACGTTTTAATCAATGCAGGACGGCAGTCAGCGTCAGGTCATGCATCGCGAGACACCAAGTGTTTCCAATCTGCCGAGCCATTGGTGGAGGAACCTGACACCGTCCGTGCAGATCGGCCGGTGGCACGCCCGAACCCATTATTCTCCATACTTAGACGGGCAGTCGGATTTGACTTGCGGTAAACCACCTCTCCCGAGGTCAGATGGTCGCCCAAACTCTCTGCAGCCACATGGGCACATACGACGACATTTCGGTTGTACTCCGGATCTAGTTTAGGAGACGCTCTCAGGCCTCCTCCTTAAGCTCCTACGGACTCGTGGTTCTGCTTGGCCTGTTTCAGCTTCCATCCAACTCCCCCGGCATAGAAGGTATCGGCACACTAGGCTAGACGGTGACCCGCTTTTCCCATGTGCAGCAGAAAGGCACAGGCGCACCCAAGTGGATCGTAAACGTGTGAGTGTCTCTCACTTCCTCTGTGTGTATATTGTTGTTCTCTTCATCATCTCTCGCGACTTGGTCATCAACATCGTGTCCTTCCATGGCAACCTTTCCGCAAAGCAAAATCCTACTCCCGCTGCCACCGGCTATCCAAAGCCAACAAAAAGAAAAGGGGGAAAGGCAGGTACATTGTATAGCCTGACCCACCCTCCATTACATACACGCAATCACAGACCCCAGGCCCAATGCAGCAAACAGACCAGATATATATAGACGCAGAATGAACCCCAGCATCATCCGAATGCAAGCCAATGGATGAGGATAACAGAATAAAGAGGACCGAATATGAACGTGCCGCCGATGCAAATATATGTACAAGCAATGTATCTGTGTCTCAACAGATGTGGAACCCTAGGGAAGTTTCCTGTATGCCAGCAAAAGGGACGCAACCAGCCAGAAAGAAAAAAAGAAGGTGGGGGGAAGAAGCGAAGAAACGAAAAGAAAAGGAATATATCCCCCCACTAATTGAATAAATGATATACACGCAGAAATTAAACCCCAACAAGATAATGATCATGGTGATCGAATGAAGGCGTGACCACCCAGAATAAAAAGTCAGACATAATATGATGGTAATAGTGTCATGATCGGTAAAGGAGAAGCAAATGCAAATCATCATGTAACGGTGAAGGAAACTTTTGATGTCCCTTGCTTAGATGTCAACGAAAGACCCCCGGCAATGATAGGCGTGTGTTGTGATCATGACTTCGACTGTCCCGGGCGGATGACTGGCTTCTGAGGGGTTGCCCTCTTTTTACCAATGACAAGTCCTTCATCTTCCGAGTCATCGCCAGACTCTTCTTCGTCATCGCAGTAGTAGCGGCATTCATCATCTTCTGCAGGACGTGAAGGACAGGAATGCCGGGCTTTGACTGTCTCGCCAGTGCGAAGAATTGAAGGAACCTGAACGGCTGGTTCAGCATCCTTCTCCTTGAAGCCACTCTCACCAGAGAGAGACGAAGCTCCTGACACCACAGACGGGATGCTGGGGTGAGAAGTGCTCTGGGACATGCCGCTAGTGTACTCGTCAATTGATGAAGAGGAAATTGTAGCTGCCGATGGCGGCGATGTCGTTAGCCCTCCTGAAAGAGGATCCCCAGAGGACTGGTCATTCGACGAGTCTGAGGCTTGCGGGTGATTCTCAATCCGCGGGCCCATGTAGTCACCGGAGCATGGCTCGCTGTCGCCACGAGCGCTAGTGTCTGCATCACCGACGGGTCCGAGGTCGCTCCTCCTCTTCCGTAGCAAGGCCTCCTTGGTCAAATGGAATGGCTCGGCGGAATGCTTGCCTGGAAGTTGGTGGGATCGGTTTCGCCGATGGCTGGAAGCTCTAGCAAGGGAGCCATCGGGAGGAGTCAAGAGCGGCTCCTCATTCGACAAGTTGCAATTCTGCATTTGACCAACAGCCGAGGCCACACTTAAAGCCAAGCTCGGCTCAGAATGACGGTCACCTTCCAAAGACGCTGTCTCGCCCGAGACAGACCGATCGGAGCGCCAATCCCCAGGTTGAAGGCCTCTTGCAAGCCGACGGCTCGCGCCACCAAAAAGGCCACCGAGGTTCGTAGTCCCAGACGGTTCCATACGGACAGGGGTGCCAGCACGCTGGGGTACTGATACTCTTTTGTGGTCCGATGGTTTCACGGTCTTGGCAGATTCAGCAGTGGACAATGTGGATGTAGTGCGCTCGGGGGGATCTGGGCGCGTAGATTGTTCCTGCACTGATAGGGAATCGGACGAAGCGAAATAGGATGGCTGATCTTCTCGGCCCACGGGACTTGCGGTCACGCTCTGCGAAAGCGGATGCTCCCCTTCCCTAGGCAATCGGAGAGAACGAGGGAATTCTTCATCTCCCCTCAGGCTGTGCCGCCGATTATCCCAGAGGTACTTCCCAAAAGCAGTGCTGCTTGTAGTTGATGATGACTCGACCGAAGGAGAATTACTCGGAGTCCGTTTGCGACTATCCTTCTCTTTTGACCGTCCAGTCAGATAATTAGACCACTTAGCAACGTTGGATCGCACACGCTGAATGAATGGTACTTTGCTGACAGCACTAGTCACTTCTTCGGTGGATACTTCAATTCTCTTTCCCTTGCTCTGATATCCCGGGTCCGTCTCCTCCACCCATGCTCTGGGGTTGGGAAGACCATGCAGAACCCAAGGATGGTGCTTGATCTCCTTCACGGTGATCCGTTTAACCGGATCCTTGGTCAGCAGCCGCTTTAGCAGATCATACAATTCGTCGTCAATATCCTCGTACACCAGCTCATCCTCCATCCGTTTGCTGCTGTCACTGTAGCGAGGCCACTGACTGACGGTGTCGGGATCATCTTCCACAGGCTGTAATCGCTTTCGGGGAATGAAGACTTCCTTCCGCACAATAGTCTGGAACATGCTGTATTCGTCATCGGAAACAAATGGCAGGCGCCCGAAGATCATGCCGTAGAGGGTAACACCCAGAGACCAAACATCAATAGCGCCGGTGATCCGAGGGGCGGCGCCAAGCACGTCCACAAAATCATCGCCTGTATAGCACAACTCAGGGGCATAAAAGGCCGGTGTCCCGACCGTCTTGGACAGCTCGCGAGCATCATCCAACTCGGTGGCATCCGTTTCCTCCACCCGCTCCTCTTCCTCGTCTCGAATGGGTCGGCCCAAGTACGAGACACCAAAATCTGAGATTTTCACACGATAGTTGCTGGTGACCAGTAGATTTGCGGGTTTGATGTCACGATGGATGATGCCTTGGTAGTGGAGATATTCCAGGCCTAGCAACGAATCGCGAAAGGCGTTGCGCGCTTCGTTGAAAGTCAAGCAAGGCACATAGGACATGTCGTCATCGTCAGTGAACCACTCTGGTTCAGAAGGTGCATAACCGAAGCTGCTTGACGCGGTACTGAACCGTCTTTCGAATGGGTAGTCTGCATAGGCGCCGTACATGCTGCCTTCTACTGCAGCCAGTGCCGACTCGGGGCCCGACGCATAAGAATGACTCGGAGAGGACTGGGCATCATCGGTGCTCACTAAAGATCGGCTGGGCACACGCGCAGCCATAGGCTCGCCCTCCAAATCTTCTTCTTCGTCGTCTGACTCCGCACCATGCTCCAGACTCCAGGCAGGGATCGGAGCTTCTTGCGCATATGCCGCCTGTGCTTGGCGCCGTTCACGTGCCTTCTCGCGCTGCCGACGAAGGTGCTGGGCTGTCCTTACGTACTGTTGACTTTCTTCCATGAAAGAAGGTGTGTCGGGAATGCCCGCCTTTTCACGCTCCAGCCGGCGCTTATCGACGTGAACAATCTCTCGCAGCCCACGCTTGCGCCAGATGATCTCTCCGTTCTCCACATACTCGAGGACTATATAGACCTTTTGGCGATTCGGATCATCGATGACTTCTAACAGACTGACGACGTTAGGATGCCGTGCCTTTTTCAGGATGGCAACCTCTTTCTTGACCTTATCCTCAGGGTTACCGAGTTTTCCGAGGCGGCGACGCTTTGAATAACGCTGGACAATCTTGATTGCAACCTTTTGCCTCGTCGTAATATGGCGGCCGAGCTTCACCTTTCCGTGTTCACCGCGTCCGAGCTCCTCAAGGATCTCATACTGGTTGATAAGCTTGTTTCCGGTCACAAGATCCCGATCCACCTCGGCAGTATGGGTCCTATCATCAAGATGGTCAGTCAACAGTCGAATGATATTTGGCAGGACAGAGGTTGGTCCAACCAGTGGCACGTCGGACTTACTCTTTAGGGGGCTGGAGATGGGTGGGATGGAGATAGGGGCTGCTGATGCGACCTTCGTCGTCGGATGCGAATGGAGGCGTCGAGCGAGGACTTCTGATGGAGAATAGGCCCGGGCTGGAGAGGGGGGTATTGCCCGCCGTGCGTGCAGCACGCGATGGAGCATATTTGGCCGCCTCAGTCCGGGACGGGTAAGAGCTTCGGGTGCGTAGGAACGGGGGATGGTAGGTGGGGTGGATTTGGGACTGGAGGACGGCGTAGGATTGGTCGGGATAGACGGGGTAGTCTGCGGAATGAGTCTCAGAGGGGCCCATGTGGGCGACCCTCCGAGAAGAGATGGAGCTCCGGCCGACGGCGCTGTGATCCGACCGCGCATCAACAACGGTGTCCTCGTTCAAAGCCTGAAGCGAGCTCGAAGAAGTACGAGTGGAGGGTGACCTGGATGTACTGGATGAATGGTACAGATGGGGAAACGGGTGTCGAAGAGACGTCTGCCCATCTGAGAAATCACCCTGCAGGGGAAGCTTCGCGTTCGGCGGCTTGGTGACAGTCTGCTTGATATCTGCCTCCATCGGTGCCGGCAATGAGGAATCCTCGATGGACTTGTCCGAACTCCGCCTGCGAACATGGTCTAAGGTCTGGCCATTCCGGGCAGCCAGAATGACAGGCTCCTCCAGGCCAGGAACTGAAGGCGGACGGTCCATTTTCATGTCTTTGATTCAGCGAACTCTTTCCGAGTTACAACTGGGCATCCTCCCCTTCCAAGGCCTTATTTCCTGGGGTTCCGTCTGATGACCCTGTCCGTACAATATATGTCCTTCTCCGGTCCGGTTGATCTTCCCATAGAAACCGCTTGATTCAGGGCGAGCTGACGTGAAGCTCGGTAGATGCACACGAGTGGACCGGCATTACTCTCGGAGCTCGACTCGGAAAGGCGTATAAGCAGGCATGCAGATTGACCTGAGGAATAAAACCGTGTACCGGACAACGGTGATAGCGAGACTGGAGACTCCGAGCGACCGAACTGCTACAGCGCCAGGATGCAGCTGATGATCGATTGGGGCGCCCGGAGACGTGAGGGTGGAACGAGGTTGGAGCCGGAGATGTTCGCAGATCGGTCGGAGAAGAGACCCTTCAAAATAGGGCAGGACCAAAGCCAAGAGAGTGTCTAAGTATAGTAACAAAAAAGACACGACGGTGTAATAACCGTTATATAGCAAGGGGGACCCGTCCGAAGTCGATAGGAAACAGAGTAAGCGAAAAAAGAAAGTGCAAATAATTATACTGGCGATGGAATGAATTAGAAGAAAAGGAAAGGGTAAAAAAAAAAAAAGGTTGTATAGGGAGAAGAGGAAAAAAGGAGGGGTAGGTATTCGTTAAGTATTGAAAAGTAGAAGATGAAAGAGTTTAATGAAGAAGAGGAGTAGTGGAACGAAGTGGAAGAGGAGAAGAAAGAGGAGGGGAGGGGGAAGGAGGAGGAATTAAGGGAGGTGATGGGTGGTGATTTAGAGGAGGAAAAGGGACGGAGATGGAGAGAGTTGAGGGAGAGAAGTGTAGAAAGACAGGAAGAGGGAAGAGGGAGAGAGGGAGGAGAGGAACCGCTGTGATGGCGGTTCGTAAGTAATGAATAATGGGGGGGAGGAACGGCAAGATGGTAGTGGTAGTGGTGGTGGTGGTTCACGGCGGTGGTGGGAGAAGGGTCAGTCAGGCTTTTGTCAGGCGGCTTGCCTTTTGGGGGTGGGGGAAAAGAAGAGAGACTCTTCGAGAGAGACTCTTGGGGAGGGCAAAGGGAAAGATGAAGAGGGAGGGGAGGAGGGGGATCAAAATACGTAGCAAAGATGAACAGCACAGCGCAAACTGCAGTACTTACCAGTGGTGACTGGTAAATGGATTTACAATACCCCAATAATACCTAGTCAGACCTGGTTGGAAAGCGACTTGGCAACTCCCATCCAGGAGGGATTGATGATACTAAATAATGACGGGGGTGTGAAACCAGAATACAGCAGTATATTAGGTACCATACTTCGTACGGCGTACCGACCTGCCCATCGAAGGGGGGACCGATGGAAACGTACCTAGATTATTCTGGATCCATCACCCAATAGCCGGTCGGTGGGGATGTTGAGTCCCTCTTCCCGTTGTGCACGAGCATCATAATAGGATTCAGTCCGATACAATCCCCTAGTGCTTCCCGGGAAGATAATCTGAAAGATGATCAAATATCCATTTCATTGATCTTTCTTTCTTCTTCTTTCTTTTATTCGATTCCCAAGTTGATTGTGGGTAGCTATAGTGGTGGATGATAAGAACAGTGCCAGCCAGTGAATGCCTTGACCAAGGCCATCTCGGCCGACCATCCGGCCCTCCTTGGCGGTGGTTGGGACCTCATCTAAGCCCATGGGCACCACTCCCGTAGGCTACGGACTTTAGCGTCCTTACCGGCAACGGGAGAGGATCCTCTTTAGCTATCTAGTATCTAGTATCTCCATCGAGGGGGCAAAATAAATGCTGCATCTTAGGCTGAATTCCACTTTAGCTTGGTTCATCTGTAGGTATGAGAACTCCAGACGCGTGTCGACCATCCATGAGGCCATTGACCATCCATAATTTAGCTGCATGAGGTACTACTTCAATTACTATGCCTTTCAAAATTCCTAGTAACTAACTGTTTAATAGCTTACTTAAAGAGACAAGGGAAGTTTGAGATACGAAGAAAAAGAAAGGAAAAAAAAAAAAAAAAAAAAAAAAGAAAAAGGTTTCGTGAGTACAGAGTAACCGCAAAAATGAAAAAGAAAATAACTTTTTTAGCCTTGTGGCGTCAGTTTTCTCTATCTTGTCTTACGTAGAGGACTATTTCTCCGGCTATTTTGTCAACGGGTCATTGGCCCTCCTCCGCCCCTTGCTGTTCCCGTCATCCTATTGCAACTGTTCGTCGTCCCTGAACGGATCCTTCGTGCCACCCAAACTGAATACGGGTTCGCCAGTACCTACAGTACTGCGACTTGATCTATATGCCCCATCATCAGCCCCTACAAAATATGATTGATATATCCAGCAATCAGTTGGACTCTGATTGCAAAGGTAAACCATGTGTCGTCAATGACACCTGTCAGTCTGGCTGGCCAGCGCGACCGGTATCGATCTGGATCTGCTTGTTCCGTGGGTCCTATGATGTCTATTCACCAACTCTCTTTCGCCCCATCCACAGTCGTCCGTTCTAGTATCTTCCAGGTCTCAGGTTATTCTCTCTCGTCTTGGGCCATTTCTCGCTGGCTGAGCGTCATGATACAGTAGTTGGCCAAGAGGGCACTGACCACCATGTAATTTGGATCTACGGATTTCGGAGCCGACCCTGCTTCCCTGGCACCCGTCCGAGCCCTTATAGGCCACCAGCGTTCAACCTACTGTATGTAGATAATGTTTGACTGCGGCCTCACCCTCCAATAGGCTCCCGTGGTCTGTTCCTTTAGCTCCGCGCGGAGAGCTTGGGCAAGGAGGTCTGTGTTCTCCCCGAATTCAGTCTACCAGCAGCCACACGAGCACTCCTGGAGAATCGATGTTGGGTGCTTTCCTGATGAGGCAGGAGGCGAGGCCGAACCAAGCAGAAGAATCTTGTAGAAGAACGGTGGGGAGCTCTCGATAGAATTTCCATCAATCCATGAAGCACCGGTTGCTCCACCTTGAGCAAGGCCTCGGTCGGTCTCTAGCTTGGGTAAACCTGGCAACCATCCCTGGATCTGAAACGACTGGTTATCCATCCCAGGGTTCACCTGTATACAAACGGCATGAAGACGGGCGCACGGCCATTGGTGCCATGCTCAAAGGTGGCCCATTTCCGGTCAGGAGAATTCTCAACCATCTTGCGAATCAGACGTTCACTAGCCCATCAGAGACGGGAGGCCGTCGAATGAGTCTCTGTCTCTGATTTGCTCATGCATAGCAGCCTGACTCGTCCCCACGAGGAGTGGCTGCTTTAGCGGCAATCCATCTTTTCCACTTGCCTTTTGACATGAAAGCCATGCCATCCTTAGTTACTGGGTTGAACGTAACTTGCTTACTTGATGAAGATCCCTAGCGGTCTACTAGGGGAACCTCTCCTGCACTTGAAGACAGGATTTGAGCCTTCTAGCCAGCAAGCGCTCTCTCGGAAGTTGGCTTTCACGAGAGGCGGGGAGAAGGGGAATGCTTGGGCCGACCACTGGACGCATGGCGATACATCTCTCTGGATACCTCAGCTTAGACTGGTCTCAGAGTGACCTAGTATGAAATCCTTGGGGGCATTTCATTGGATGGTGGGCTGCAGTGCGGGCATGCATCTGCATTCTTGCATTCTCATCGGGCTCCTCTGATTCCATTTGCTCACTGGCCCGTACCGACGTCATCGGAGCCCAACGCTGGCGAGCCACATGTAGGACGCCCCTGAGTGTCTCTTTCGGTGTCTCAATGAGCACGGCGCGAATATTTCTCGGATCAAGATACACATGCCGTTTCTTGGCATGTCATAAACGCAATGCATGCCGCCTTATGGGGGTTGCCTTCCGCATACTTTGATATCCGGTGCGGTCGGAGGCCTACCGGTTACTATTCATCAATCGCTGCTTGAATGGGCACATTGACACCCCTTATGCACTAGGCCACCACCTCGATCTGCGTCCACCTACCGTCTAGTGGGTTCTGTTGTCTAGCTCAACCATTGCCAAGTGCCTAGAGGGCCGCTGACTGGGAGGGGTAATCTCGTTCAATGGTGACTATTTTGGATAGCCGGGAGCAATGTTCGCGCGACATCCCGCGACAGGGGTACTTCTCCCACTCTGATCCTGTCTGGTGCCATGCCTCGTGGATTATGGGCTTTGCGCTCCGTATCGCTCGTTTATTGATCTTGGTGGAGACGAGGTGCAGGTGTTGGTCCGTTCGCCCGTTCCCCAGACCTTGACTTCGATTCCGCGCGGGGTACAAGGCTCTTTGCTTTGACAGCTCGGCCCGTACTGTGTTTTGATGCCGCTGCTGTGGGCATTTGCGCGTCCGTGGGGGTATAGAGACGCATGAAATCCATGTACCATTCCGTCGATCTCGTGGCTGGTGGGTGCGCGGATCGATGTCTACCCCAGGGATCTCCAGTGTCATGTTCAACTAGCTCGGCGATACTACGAGGTCTCGCATGTCTACTTACTGAAAGGGTTGGTGTCCGTCAGCTTTGATTCTTTGCGGGACTACTGTTTACTGTGTTTACGCGGCGTCTCCCCCCCCTTGTTTGCTTTTCATACTCTCCTGGAAGTGATTTATGTGGGTTGCTTCGACTTTCATTGGTATGCTTTTGGGGGGGTTTTGTTCCTTTATCGCAGGAGCTGCTCTTGTGCTCTGCTGCTTAGGTCCTAGTCATTTGGCAGTCGGGCTGGGCAGGTGCATCGCTTCATGTGCTAGCTACCGATCAGGTACTTGCCATTGAATAACTGGGCTACCACACTGTGTGTATTTTAGGTGATAGCACGTGAGGGGTAACAGGCACATAGGCCATAGTACTCTACTGTAATCCGAACATCGGAGATATATATCCGGAATCAAAACATCGAAACAAGACATGGATAAGACAACTGGAAGCCCACAGACTGTTACGGACCGAAGACAGAGACGAGACAAGTACCAAACACAACAAGAAAATATGAAAGAAACACAACGCTATAACCCAGAAGTAGTATACCGTAATGCAATCTTCTACTCAATCCTCGTTCTCTCACTTGTATCACTAGCCCGGTAAACAGAAAACATAAAACAAGTAGGTTATATACCAAATACTTAGTGCTTCTATCACAACAACAGGTGCTGTGGTCTAGTGGTATGACGTCACGTTGTGGCCGTGCCAGCCCCGGTTCGATTCCGGGCAGCGCCAATACGAAAAAATAACTTTTTTTTTGGAGTATTTTTACTTTTTGCCCTTCATTCCATGTCCATCAGTTCTATCTGAATTATAACCATCGATATCCTCTCATCACATACTATCTCCCATCCAGCTCAATCATAAGCACTGTCCCAATACAATTAGACCCAAATCAAACCAAACCAATCCCCCCTTCACTAGTATCATCTTGGATCCAACCGGGCCAACCCCACTCCATCCCGCATCCCCCCCTAGACAGACACCGATAGATAATTACATCCCATCCGGTGTCACCACCACAGCCGAGTTAAGTTCAGTAGTTAGTTTCATTACCCATTCCTAATTCCTAATCGAGGAACATGCATACCCGAGCCTCCCCGAGGGTATCAGCAATAATGACTGGTTCTGGCACCCGCTACCAAGCTTTTTAGGGTGCCCTTTTCTCCTCCTTGCCAGAGGAGGATACTTATAGCCGGATGTCGGATGTTATGTAGTATGTTGTGTTGCTTACCGTATTAGTCTGTCTAGTATGCTACTAGGGTAATTGTGTAATACACTTGTTATAATGTATCTATCTACTTTGTAAGTAATGGATGAGGTGTTGGTTGGTTCGTTGGGTGGATGGCTTGGCTTGGCTCGGCTCGCAGATGATTTGAGTGTCTGTCTCGGTGGTATGTATGTGTTTATATGTATAATTAGTATGGGAGGAGGAGAAGGGGGTGGTATATCTTGCTGTGGCATGGAGTTGGTCATTTCTAGTATACTCTATCCTGGAATAAGCCAGGACAAATCTATAGCAGGCTAGGTGCCAGTGGTGCTGGTAGTAGTGCAGGTCCCGGAGTATTCCACCCACAATAACTCCGAATAGCAGCAATACCCACCATGTAAAGTCGATTCGGGGTTCCAAACAATACAGATCCCAGGACATACTACTTTTGTATGCTGAGCATCCCTCTCCGACCAGCAGCCGCCCCCCCTGCATACCACCAAACCAGGTAATCCACGGCAGACCCAAGCCAAACTAAAATAGAATACGAGACTCGCATCTACTTCAACTCAGTATATGAATACGAATATGGATATAGTGCTATGAGACATGGGCTGGTTGAGTGTAACTCTACCTGGTCACCTATACTAAGCCACTGTTATAGAATTCTCCGTGGTGAATAACGATGCCGCGGCGCGGTATCAGCCGTGCCTATCACCCGGATAGGAAGTTGATAAGATTTGGCTGCACCTGGCATGATGATGATATATGTGTATATGTATACCTGTTTCTACCTCGGGTATCATGCAGTATGCAATTAGATGAGTTTGGGAAGGCGAGCAGGGTTCTTTCCAAAAGTGCTACAATTACTATGTAGCGGTAGCGGGTGAGGTGATTGTGGCGTTTTCTAATCATTAAATCGATTGCGCCATTCGTGGAAGATGTATCGCGGTTGGTTGATCATCACAAACCCTGTGCTGTTATTCCATTATAGTAGATGACTCAGGGGTTGATATATCCATGGCGCCCTTGATAAGCAGCCAGTTCGACTGGGATTTAATTAACCGGAGGTGACGGTGACATGAGAGACTACTTAGCTGGTAAGCTAGCTATCTGATCCGATTTCGGGCCACTGGAGAGTTGAGCTGAAGTCGCAATCGGTCTACATATGACAGCGCCACAATCCGGATAGTCGGTCAGCCGTCCAGTGCTCGCCAATTGGGAGATCATGTCGGACCAGGTGCCCCTGATGCTTTGTCGCGCAGATCCGTGGTGGTTCATTAGCTGGTATAGGGTCCGGTGAGTTCCATACCGCATGCTTTGTTTGCTTGCAGCTTGGCCGTATTTCAGGTGAGGAAGGGATGGTAATACTTCAAGTTTAGAATTGAGAGATTCTCTACCCGGATAACGCCAATTGATAGGCCGTGTTTGGGTCATCCAATGGTATTAACCGCTCATGCATGCAGCGACGCAGATGCAACGCCGCACCGAGCTGAGTGAAAGGTAGTTGATAAAGGCTGATGCATGGCTCAAATCGGCTATACTCTTGTACACATCGCAGGCTATCATGATTGGCTGGGTTGATTCTGATGCACAACCGGACCGGCATATGCAGCAGAGGCGGTAGCTTAATGTCAGTCAAGCAGGTACACATGTAGTGCTGCCTAGATACGTAAATACGTAACATACAGCCAAGCTGCACATACCAGGGCCAGCTCAGCATCCAGGCAAGTGTGCATATAGCCAGTAAAATCTTGGTGCTGTGAAGGCCGAGTATAGCCAGTTGCCACTCCCTGATCTTATGTTCGGTCAGATTTGCGAAAAATATCATGGACCACACGACATACAAGGCAGTATCGAGTCGAGGAGGTCAAAGATCAAACCCTAGTACACCGAATACTGTTCATAGGCATATGTTTCACAGCACGTTCTCAGGTGATCGGATAATGCTCCCCATCTGCACCTAACCTAACAGGTAGCTTGCTGTGTTGACCCCCTCATGAGGCTACTGAACCAGCAAAATGCAATTACTTAGTCTGTTATTCACCTTGGCATGCCCTGTGGCGCCCAAGCAGATATGTTGTTCCAAGCAGGAGCTCGGGAGCATACCTCTGGCTCGGACCCATGAAGTTTGGCTACGAGGTCAGATGGCAGCATGTCATCCCGAGTTGTAATAGACTTTCTCGTCCTCCAAGCCCGAACCGAGTGTTTCCGAGATACCCTTGTCTTGGCTTGATCTACATGTATTGCTATTGGCTTCTGAGAAACAAGTCATCGCAGTGATCATGCAGGCGAACTGTCACCGCCGGGGGGAAGAAGGAATGTAGCTGATCGCCAACATCAACGTCAACCGCACCAAAGGGGGGCTGGGCCACTGTTCGATTGGCCCACCATGATAAATGCCGTCACCCTTGTCATTTTCCGAAATGCGTGTTTGCTTTACATCGCCGAAGAGGTTCTGTCAGTGGAACACTGACGAGGCTGCCTGGGAGCAGTTGCATATCAGACCGCGGCCCGAGCGGGCCTAAGGAGATTCGCGGGATATTCAGTCCGTGGATGGGTGTCTTGAGCGTAATGAGTCAAGAAAACTATGGTCTGGGAGGACCAGCGGTAATGGATAGTTGGGTTGCGGATCTCGCCACGGTGATCAGCCTGACTGTGATGAAGGCTGGTCAGTTCGGCCGGATATCAAACAACGTTGATGAATTCCGACCAGTGAGAGGGCGTCTGAGCGCGAGGATGACCAAAGGCGATCCAGCAAGTAGATCCAATCTCGACTGGGAACTGAGCGCACAGACTCACAGTGGCCAAATAGATCTCGCAGCAGCAGTGCGAGCATCAGCACCAACCTCTATCAGGAAGTTGAGTCAGGCCAACCTCACCGGACCTTGATTTGGTAGTGGATCCTTGGGCCTTTCCAGAAGGCCCAGGTAAGGCGGTGGTTGAAAGTTGGTGTCTTGCTTCTTCAAGTTGTTTTGACTTGTTCGTCGTGAAGATGCCGCCCCGCAGGAGCCCCACGAGGATGAGACCGGGTAAGGCGTATCGACTTTGTATCTGGAAAGTAGATAGCAGGTATTCTGGTAGTGTTTAGTAGATAGTAGTCTTGGGGTTCAGGCATGGAATGAGGCGGGGGGGCAATGATTCACATGAAAGTCTTTACCTTGATTTCATATGGAAGAGATGTTGTTGATTGTTGCAGTTGGCAGGCCAACGCAAATTGAGCTTCCCTTCACTTCTTGCTTGGGTGGCCCCACTGCAATATAATATCAACAACATCAATCACAACAATTGAGACTGTGGTTGAGATTCACCAAACTTGCAAGTCAGTATACAAGATAGAGTAAGAAGAGACTACAGACACCAGCATCACCATCTTCTACTACCAGCTGCCACACATCTTCTCGTAGTTTCCTGTAGCCGTTTGAACTAGCATCTACCAGCCCAACCTTTTTAGAGGATCGCCGTGTTTCACTTTTCTCCACATGGTCGGTCTCACTTATTCTGCATGCCATCATTCACTCCATATCGATAAGGTCAACTGGCACCTGTCAATTGATTATCTACAGAATGGAGACAAATTGCCCGACCCAACAACAACAACCACCACCACCATCATCATCATCAATTTCATCAATCAATGACCTCGTCCTCCCTCCTCTCTTCTAACTATCTAGCAAGGACCTTGCGCTGATGCTCACGCGTCACCCATGGGATGCAGTGCTTTCGCCCCTCCAGGTTGCCAGTGCAACCGCCCGTGTTGACGGTTCATTCATCATCCCAGCCCCTCAGTAATTCCAGGCCTCCGCTTCAGACTGGACAAAGCTTGGGAGGGTCCGCTAGCAATGACGATGACCTTAATCAAATCTTCTTGCCGGCCCCTCTAGAGATCATCTAGAATCGGCCCCGATCGGCCGTAATTGAGATGCAGCCTGTTGTCGCTCTCTTTCCCCTGTCAATATTACTCCCTCCTCGCCTAGCTCTTCACTTCACTCTACTCCCTCTATCGTCTGCCTCGGGATTGCTTCTTTCCTTCTAATTGCAACTACTTGGAAACAACACCTTCAAGGAGAAACCTCGTTTGATCCAGGTCGCCCCCCAACCGCCTCGTCTCATGCCGGCCGGTCTGGCCTCCAGACGCGCCTTCGCTGAGTCGTGCTAACGAGCTAAGGATCGACGGCTGCTCTAGATGCATCGCAGTCAGTCTCAGACTGCCGCATTCTTGTTGACGCATCTCAAAGCTCTTGCTAATCCCCCATGGATGAATGCCTCTCGAGGAAACACGGAATGCACAGGGCTGTTGGCGCCCCTGTGGTGCCAACGCTCCTTGTCCTCCTACTCTTCGCCAGCCCGGCTTCCACAGCAGTCCCATACACTCCCTCACAGCTCTTCTACTCTTCAACTAGCAATGGATCGTTCGCCTACCTGCTGCAATCCACCGGTACGAGTCAAGATGCCTCCACCGAATTCATTACCTGGGATATATCAGGTGACGTCGATACAACAAGCCCGAGTTACAATATCCTGATGGACCCATTGCCCTTTCAACTCGACTCTCAGTCGCCTGCCTTTGTGCCTGTTATCGACCAGCATGGAGTGATCAAGATGTATGTAGGCGATTGCCAGAAAGCCCTGGATCAGGGTGAGCTGTGGCAGTTTACGCCGGACAACAACAGCTCGATTGGAGATGGGGCATGGGAGAAGCTCTCTGTGAAGGAAAGCGAGTCAAGCGACAGCGTGGATGCACCGAACTATCTCTCAGCAGGGTTCGCATATGCCTCCACCAATACCTCTGACAGCTCCGTCTACGCTTTTGGCGGGATGTGCCCCTTCTCGAATGCCTCAGAAACGAATTGGATGGGTGGCGCCAACTACTCCCAGTCCATGGTGGTCCTTGAGCCATCCGGATCCCGCAGGACCGATGCTTATGATGCATCCACCACCGGCAATCGCGCACCCCCGATTGCAGAGGCCGGCTTTACCGTGACTCCGTTGCAAGCAACTTATGCATATTCATCGAGCGGCGAGGTGCGCCAGCAACAGGATTTTCTCCTGATCGGTGGCCAAACCCAGGATGCATTCATCAATATGTCGCAGCTTGCGGTGTTTTCTCTACCCCAGAATAGCTGGAGCTTCGTGACAGTTGATATTACTTCTGCTTCCTACAAGACTGAGCTTGCTGTGAGGGATGTTGCCACGGTAGAGCCGAGATCGGGGCATACGGCAGTTCTTTCCCCGGATGGCAGCAAGGTCATCGTGTACGGAGGCTGGGTGGGGAACACGAGCATTGCTGCTCAACCGCAGCTAGTCATACTGGAACTAGGAGAAACCTATGGAGGCTCTGGTGATTGGACTTGGAGGGTACTCTCAACTGGGGATACGGAGACCACAGGAGGAAGCGGTCTTTATGGGCATGGGGCAACAATGCTGCCTGGTGGTGTGATGATGGTGGCAGGCGGATATACTATACCACAGTCGTCGTCGTCATCCTCGTCGAAGCGTTCAGCCAAGCAATCCCAGCCCAACTCACAGGTCTATCTCTATAATATCACCTCCGAGGAATGGGTCTCAACTTACCGAAATCCTGACTCCATTGCTAGTCAACAGGATTCCTCCCACTCTGGCTCATCAAAAACATGGAAAACTGGGGTAGGAGTTGGTGTTGGACTGGGAATTCCTGTCATTGCTGGCCTCGCTATCCTCCTATTCTTCCTTTGGAAGAGGCGTCAAAAGCGCCACGTGCGAGATAAGGAGCTCCGCAAGCTAGCCTTGGGGGCAGAAAGAGCCCACTTCTGGGGTCAAGGGGAGCCTTTTATGGCGAGCAGTATCCACAAGCCCTCCATGAAGGAGACGGAAGGGAGGAGTGACTACCCTTGGATGGGCAATAGTGGATCTGGGCGACCATTTAGTTGGCAGGATACAGGGGATGCAGTCGCAGAAAGCACTGGTCTGCTCGGGGATCCTAGTCCTACAACTACAGGTCGTTCTAGTCTGAGCGCGAGAATGTATCGCCCCCCTACGCAATACAGCGAGTACAGAAGGAGTGATGCCACGGGTGATATCCACCCGATCGATGAGCGTGAGGAAGATGAAGCGAAAGACGCCGTGGGTGTTCCCATGCAGAAAACAATTGACAATTTCCGGGCCGAGTCAACAATCTTGACACCCTTGAGCACGACCGTATGCGGAGACTCATATGCTGGTGGCTCGGCCGGGCCGTCCGACTACATGGCCGGAGTTGGCTATGACAGAGACATACCTTCTTCGTCAGATAAGGATGAACGGACATCCTCAAACCTCTCCGATTCCTCCACATCAGCAAAATCGATCCCTCAACCTCGCATGGCCAACTTTAGCTACCCCGCGAGTCAACCAAGCAGTGGGCGCCAGTCACCTCAAAAATCTGTTACAATTTCGATCCCTAGTCGGGAGCCAGCCCGCAGCAGACCGAACAGTGCAGCGCTTTCATTCGAAAAGCGCTACTCTTCTGACTCCTACTCCACCGCTCAGACCTCCCTCTCCCTTCGACAAGCTGAAGGCGAGCATCTTCTCCGCGACAACCCTGAACCGACGTCCCCACTCGATCTATTCCCCAAACCCACCACATTCCCCAAGCAACGCACATCTGAATGGATCGGCAACAACGTTCGCAGAGTGCTCTCCCTAACGCGGAGACGCCCAGCAACCGACTCGGATCCGACCACAGCGCCCCTCGCCTCTGGCATAGACCGCAGAAGTACAGTTCTCGGTCCCAACTCAACTTCTACAGGCTACGGCCTTCCGCGCCGCTCCGTCAGCGCATCAGCCGAACTTTTCAAACGCAAACAAGGAGCCAAAGACTGGGGCGCAGCCAACCGAATCTCACGCAATATGGAATCCCAGGCCCGGTCCACACGGGATGACACCGCCCTAGGCGCATTTCTAGACCTTGATCCAGACAGTGACGACGATTGGGACGTGGAAGGTGCTGCAGAAGGCCGTCGCGTCCAGGTAACCTTCACCGTACCGAAGGAGAAACTCCGCGTCGTCAACGCCACCGCAGGCGAACTGGACACATTCTCCGAGAAGTCCGTCAGCAGAAGCAATAGTGATGCCGCGAAGTGAGCAGTGCTTGCTTCCTTTTCCATTTCCCTGGGCTCTCGATTTTGCAGTCATAAGTTTTTTTTCATCCTCCTTTGCCTCCTGTGAATCGCTTTTGGATGGGTGGTATGCGATGAAGTAAATTTGTTGATACATACTTTTATCCACACATACCCACAATCATACATATATTACATACGAGGTTTGTACAAGGTGGGTTTTATGGTTGTTGATTTGTTTGATATGATATGATACTCCACTCGTTACATGTTCGTTGTTGCCTTTCTATTCTGATAGTCCATGTTTTTCTCTTCGTTTCTTGTCTTCATGCAAATGGCTGGATGGATTGGACGATGTCGATGAGGTCGTGGAACTTACGAGCTACGAGTCGAATGAATATGAATGAATTTGAATGATACTTGAAGTTGAATACGTCAAATAGTTAGTTACTAGATAGTCATTACTGTCTGATAATAACCGAGGTTGTTAAACCCAAGACTCATCTGTTATAGTACGAACGTCGAACGCCATTTTGATTCTGAAAGCAACAAAGCCAAACCGAGAGATCTATACGAACACAATCCAAAAAAAAAAGGTAAGGTGATATAATATACCGAAACAGAAAAAGAAGGAAAAAGTCATTAAGTTGAGTTTCTGACTTGAGACATCAACATCAGCTGAACATGACGTACGTCACTGCATTCTAAAAGATAGAAAACCCCGCATGCGTAGACCGATCCCCAAAGAGCCAATCGTGATATTTTATTTTGGAGACCCCGAACCCAAAGAAAAGGAATAAATCAAACCACTTCCTACTTATGCGCTGTGGCCGTTGGTGCCGAGAGTGGGACGAGTGGGCAGGGTCTTGGGCAACGGGGGCAGGAGAGACTTGGCGCTTTCGCGGGAGTACTGAGCCATCAGGGCGTCCATGACGACCAGCGCGGACATGGCCTCGACAATGGGGACGGCGCGGGGAGTGACGCAGGGGTCGTGGCGGCCCTTGGCTTCGAGAATACCCTCACCGAAGTCGTAGGTGGCGGTGTTCTGGGCCTGGCCAATGGTGGCCGGGGGCTTGAAGGCGATGCGGAAGTAGATGTCGGCGCCGTTGGAGATACCGCCCTGGATACCACCGGAGTTGTTGGTCTTGGTGGTGAGGCGCTGCTTGGTGGTGGTGTTGGGGCCGAGTTGGGTCGGGACATCGGAGACGATGAAGGGGTCGTTGTGGATAGAGCCGGGGACCTCGCAGCCGCCGAAACCGGAGCCGATCTCGAAGCCCTTGGTGGCGGGGATGCTGAGCATGGCGTGGGCGAGCTTGGCCTCGAGCTTGTCGAAGCAGGGCTCACCCAGACCGACGGGGACGTTGCGGATAACGCAGGTGACGGTACCGCCGATGCTGTCGTGGTTGTCGCGGAACTGCTCGATCACCTTGGTCATGCGCGCGGCGGCATCGGCGTTGGGGCAGCGGGTGGGCGCGAACTCGTCGACGGTAGTGCGGGTGATGGTCTTGAGGAGGTTGAGGTATTCAGGGTTGGTGGAGGCAGTAGGGTGCTCGGGAGTAGGAGGGAACAGGTGTTCGTTGCCAACAGAGGAGACGAAAGCGACAATCTCGACGCCGTGCGAGAGGCGCAGGTACTTTTCGGCGATGGCACCGGCAGCCACACGGCCTGAAACCGGGGAAAAACTGTGTTAATGGGACTCCGTCTGGGGATAAGCGGTTCACTCACCAATGGTCTCACGGGCACTACTGCGACCACCACCGCTGCTGGCCTTGACGCCGTACTTCTCCAGATAGGTCAAGTCGGCGTGACTGGGGCGGGGGTACAGGTCCATGGTGCTGTTGCCGTAGTCCTTGGGTCTCTGGTCCTCGTTGCGCACCATCATGCCAATCGGAGTTCCCAGGGTAACTCCAAACTCCGTTCCGGACTGGATTTCAACGCGGTCCTTCTCATTACGAGGCGTCGTCAGAGCACTCTGACCGGGGCGTCTGCGGGTCATCTGGGGCTGGATGTCGTCCTCGGTGAGTTCCATTCCTGGGGGGCAGCCATCGACGATGCAGCCGACAGAGCGGCAGTGCGATTCACCATAACTGAGAAGAGAAACAATGCGATTAGTATGTGGGCGTATATGAACAGAGGTGTTTATGCCTGTGTGGTGGTGATGGTGTGCGATGTCACCATCATCATAGACTGGGGCTGACTCAGAAGACTTACGTGGTGACCCGGAAGTAATCACCCCACGTCGACATGGCGGGCGGTTTCAATTGATGAATAGGGTTCGGAGGGAGAAGGGCAGGTGGGATCTGTAGGAGATGGATGGAAGAGGAGTCGAAGAAGAAAGGATATCGAGGGAGAACGAGACCAAATAAGAAGAAAGAAGGGAAAAGGAAGAGGAGGAGAAAAGTAAGCGAGGGGCAGACGGAAGAAAAGTGAAGTCTGGATGGAGTCTCGGAGAGAGGAATGGCACGTCGGGCTGCCACTTTGATCGTGTGCGGTTTAGCTCCCGGCGAGATCGGCCTTGTTCCTTGGCCCCCATTGGCCAATCATCCTTTCCCACTGTAGGTACCGTTCGGTCTGTTTTGAAGGTACGCCTGGTATCTTGCATTATGATGATACTTACAGTATTGTCACCATCTTCTCTTTCTCTTTCCCCTTCCTCTCGGCCTCATTCTTTTGTCTTGCGTGTTCTGGATCGGCCATGAGTTGCTCGGCAGCTCTCTAAAATCCCCCAATGCGTCTCTACTCCTCTCGAGCAACATGCTGGCTATCGTCGCTCCGAGTTCCCCATCCCAGATCCAGCCCGCGTTCTAATGCCGTGCGGTGGAATTCCTCATTCTCCGCCGACCAATTCGCCCAGCTCGCCAGTCGCCAGTCCTCCCAGCATCAAATCTACCAATCCCTCTCCACCGATCCCTACGTGAACCTCTCCATCGAACACTTTCTGCTGGAGCATGCGCCGGCAGACTCGAACATCCTCTTTCTATATATCAACCGGCCGTGCGTGGTAATCGGGCGCAATCAGAACCCATGGCTCGAGACCAACCTCCGAGTGCTACATAATGACCGCGGAACCGCGGAGCACGGAATCCACTCCTACAATGACACCGAAGATGCGCTCTACGTCCGACGACGGTCTGGCGGTGGTGCCGTCTTCCACGATGAGGGAAACCTCAATTACAGCGTGATCTCCCCGCGACCGACATTCACACGCAACAAACATGCGGAGATGGTCGTGCGCGCATTGCACCGTGTCGGAGCAACCACTACCAGCGTCAATGACCGTCATGACATCGTCATGTCCCTCGATGAAGGGCAATCTCAACCTCGAAAGATCTCCGGCTCAGCATTCAAGCTTACGCGACACCGTGCGCTTCACCACGGCACCTGTCTCCTCGATTCGCCCAACATCAACACCCTCGGTTCGTTCCTACGGTCGCCCGCACGGGACTACATCAAGGCCAAAGGCGTGGAAAGTGTGCGATCTCCGGTCGCCAATGTGTCGTCCGTGTTCGCCGATGCCTCCATCCCATTTGGAATCCAAGACGTGATCGCCAATATCATGACGGAGTTTGCAGAGCTATACCAGACCAGCCCAGATGCTGTGCGCCGCGCGCAGCGTGCCTACGTCCACGACGCAGAGTTATATGCAGGAGACGACTGGGTCGTCGGAGCTGTAGGAGAAGCCCAAGGCTACGAAGAGCCCGAGATCAAGAAAGGAATCGATGAATTACGGGTGAGTTGCTGCTGGAAATCCGACGAGTCGAAGGCCAAATAACCGTAAACTAACACCGTATTGAAAATTTGCAACAGTCGCTGGAATGGAAATACACGCAAACACCCCAATTCATCTTCTCGACTTACCCCGTGGAAGAGGATCCTCGCGAACGCCCCGCCCTTCCATCATCCTTACCTCCTTCTGTAAGACGGCGCTTTCCCCCTCTTGGCATCAGTAAGCAAAAATAATCTATACTAACAACCTAATCAAACATCGCAGACACGTGTGTTCCTCCGCCTCAAACACGGGGCAATCCTGGAGAGCCACATCTCCGTCTCGTCCGATTCCTCCGTCGGCTCGGAGCAAGCTGCCCGGCTGCAGGAGGCACTCAAGGGGCGTAAGCTTCACGAGATCCGACCGGCCCACTGGAAGGAAGTTCTATACGAACAGTTGGGGGCGGAAGAGGATGCAGCTACTATAGAGGAACTCGCTAGGTTTGTTGCGACTAAGCTTGGGTGGGTCTAGATACGAGATCATCCTCTTCATATTGCATCATCTTTTTTCATGTACAACAACAATTACTATATTGCTATAGACTACTGTGTAGCATTATGTATACTACTCTGCTGATATGTATGAAGACTTACAATATGTGCTATCCCTTCTGTTTATCCCAGTTCACTATAATATGTTATAATAATCTTGTCTTGGGTTTGAAACATTCAATAGCTGCTGACAATCACGCAATGTCAACCGGTAGTTACTGGCCAGTTAACTCACAAGAACCCATGGTGTGCAGACAAGATGAAAACAGCTCGACACGCTACAGAAACCACCTTGGGACAAGTCACGTTGTATTGTATCCAGTCATCATTCATAAGTCGTATGTATTCTACTTGCTATGTACACACCCCCAAACACCCGAAATAATCCCCACGAGGACCGAAGATGGCGAAAGGAAACGAAGAACAGGAATAGAAAAGTACAAGAACCCCCATAATATGCGATCCACGTATGAACAGGTTGAATACAGTCAAGGTACAGCTAACCCAACTCCTCTAGTGCAAGCGCTGAAGATGATGCACTCAGGAACAGAATGCGAAAGTAGAAGAACAGGAAAGAAAACTATAACAAATGCAGAAGAAAGACAGAATGAGGCCTATTTCAGGCCCCGAGTCGGGAACCGACGAAAGCCCTCACCTTGGAGTTTCGACTGGCTCCGGGTGACTCGCCGGGAGGGCCTATCTTCGAGACTCAACCCCCCAATTCCTGGACCCAGCTCGGTTCGTCGCGGCGAGAACATCGCTTCGCTGGCGGCCCGTCCGTACCGGATGTTCCGGACCGTGTTGCTAGTAGCTGTCGTTGCGGTAGTCACGGTTGTCTCCGTGTCTGAATCTCGATCGTAATAATCTGAGGCGTCGGAATCGTTCCCTTTCAGGCTTTTGAGACTGAAGCTGTGATCCTTGCTGGAGGACCCGTCGTATGGGGAGGGTGCAAGAGAGTAGTATGGCTCTGGCGATTGTGTCGCAAAGCTAGAGGTAGGGACGGTGGAGGAGAAGGAAAGTGGCGGCGCAGACCGCTGAGAAGAGAATGACTGCAAAGGTTGGTTATCGATTGCAGGTTGAGGAGAATGCTCGAAATTCTCGCCATTTGATGGCGAGTTATGCCCCGATTGTTGTGGCTGCGGACCAGTGCTGCTTGCTTTGACTAGATTGTATAGCGAGAGCAGACCCAGCGCCTCCTGGGCCGCCATAAACACCAGAAGTAGCTGGCCGTATCTATCGAAGTAATGGCGCTCAATTGAGACTCGCGGAAGGTTCCCGCCGAGGTGGACAGCCGCCACAAGCTCCGCAAAGTAAACAAGGATTTCCATGCCGTTCCACTGCACGATAGGTTGCTTGAGGGCCTCCAAAAGAGCGAATCCTGCAATCAGGCTAGCACTGCCCAAGGAGGCCACCTCTACATAGTTCCCTGGGATTGACAAGCGATCATACTGTGAGAGGACCCAGGCAGCGAGTGAGACTAGTAGCAGGCCTAGTCGAAGATATTGGCACACAAAGTAACCCCGCAAGTTGGCAGACTGGCGAGAGTGTGAGTTCGATGATTGATGACGAGATTGCCAAGAGCTATCTTCTTCGTCCTCAGGCGACTTGATAGTGAAGGTTCGGTCAAACAAACTTTCGAGTCCGGTAGTCGCAGCATGGTCGCTCACAGGGAAGAACTTGGGAGGCGCAAACACCGAGTCTGGGTTGCCTTGATTCCGATGCCACTGGAGGTTTTGAGTAGGAGTGCGGTGGAATGGATTGCGTTCAACGACTTGTTCGATTGGTTTCACACGCTGAGCGGGTTTATTGCGCAGGCTCCATGCGGGTGGTTGTGGTGCAGGAGGCACGGATCCATAGAAAGGCATCGGCCCATCGAGCACGGACTTCTGATCCCTCTGATGAACACTGACTGTCGGTGTGAGTTCGTGCTGCACAGAGGGAGTCCAGTCCATATCATCCGATTCCGGGGGTGGCGTGGGAATGCTTGGGGTCTCGAGGGCTGCCCGCGGTGTGGTTGCTCTTGGGGTGCCCAGCTTTTCAAGAGGGAAACGAGAGGTGCGCTGCCGGAGATTGGAGCTTGGAGTCGAAAACTCCTGTCTGGCAGATGTAGTGGGCGGAGAAGAAGCAGCTTCGGTTCTGCGGTTTGGCGTGGCTGCGGGCGCGTCATCGGTCCAGTCTACCAATGGCCGGGTGTCGTAGCGCACTATGCGTCGAGAGACCACAACAGACTGAGACAGTATTAGTACGCTGGGCTCAGATAAATATTGTCGGCTGATTAGCTCACCATAATCGTGAAGAAGATCATAAAGAGATGCAATGTTGGTGGCAGGTCTGGTGGCAGTCCACTTGATGACGGATCCCTGAGGACGCCCCAGAAAGCGCATCGCACCACCAAGATAATGAGCTGCACCTGGTAGTATTCTCCTAATTTGACGAAGCGACCGCCTCGCCCTTCAACCTTCAATCGCAATTTCGGGTTCCACCAGATAGACAGGATGCCCGCAATCAGCGCAAGACCAGCGTACGGTGCCAGATCCATCGAGCAATGGTTCGGCACACGGCGTGTCTCGAAGAGAAGGGGCACACAAGAGGCAATAGATGGCGATATTGAGGGGGAATCGGGGTCCTGCAGCGGTTCCGATTCCTCAACAGTCAAAGCACTCCACACATTCCAGCTAAGTTGACCAGCAACACTAATCCAATAACCCAGAGCACCAGCCAAAACCAGCAGGTTCCTCCAGTTCCATCGACGTGCTTGCCGGGCCGCTCTCCCAGCTTTACTCCGGTCCATCATGCGTCTCAGGTGGTCTGACTTGGCTTCATATCCTGCTTGACGGATGCGTTGCTTCACTCTGGGCTCGCATTTGACGCATACCTGCGGATAACGCTCCTCTAGGTTCTTGCGAAATTTTGGGTACTCCTTCTCATATGCGCTGTAGTTCGGATCGTCAGACGATGGGAAGTAAGACGCCAGAGCGCTGGTGAAGAGATGTTGGTTTCGAAGACATTGGGCGCAGAACAAGCTGGAGGCTGTAAAGTCGGTGGATTCGAAAGGCGGGCTTGATGCCCCAGGACCGTAGACATCTGGATTCGTTTCTGCAGCGGGAGGATCCGTGATTTCTCCTTTCTTTGAAGCGCAGAAGCCGAGGCAATCAGTACTTAAGATCTTGCTTGACGCCTGAATTTACAAAACACGGGACTTACCTCATCCAGGTAGTTGACGGCTTCGCAATGTTTGCAGCGCCATTTGCGGGCAGTATCGCTGTCTGAGTGGGCCGAGCGACGCCCGCAATAAAAGCATTTGAATCGCTTAGCGAACAAGGAAGCCATCTCAAGCCTTGTAGGTGGACATTGATGGCGATGGAGATAAGGATGGGGATGGACGATGGGGGGAAATCTGAGGAAGGAGTTAAGACGACAACACCAAAATAATCGCCGAGACTAGCACGGACCACGTGCCTGGATAGTTATACAGCATCCAGATAGATCCCCAAGCATCAACCGCCCCCGCAACAACTACTCCTCATTCACTTGTCACTGCGCTGCTATTGTGGTAAATATGGGGATGGTCTGAAAAGGTTCGAGGAAGTCTCCGCCTTTTCATGCGCTGTCACTATATACATAGAGTTCATTCGTTCCGCCGGCCGCATGCGACAACTGCGACAACTTTCAAACCTGCCACATCCTCAATAACACATCGCCGTGTCATCTCAGATAATACATACAGCAACCTCTGCATCCCATGGAGTCATGGCTATCCTGGACCAGCCTATTCCTGGCTATCGGCTCTGCTGCCATAATCTGCATATTTACGCTCATTGTAAGCAATACCCTGCACATCATTTCCCCCCATACAACCAAAGCTAATCCACCCACTCAATAACTTTCAGCTTCTCGGCCACGCCCTCGCGAAATCACAAAACAGCCAAGTTCCCAAATGGCGCCCACAACACTGCCCCGTCCATCTCCTAGTCGTTCTCGGTAGCGGTGGCCACACAGCCGAGATGTTCTCCATGCTCCGGCGGATGAACCTAGACCCGTCCAAATTCACTCATCGAACCTATATCGTAAGCTCCGGAGACAACTTCAGCGCGACAAAAGCCGTTGAGTTCGAAACAACCCATATAAGTCATCATGTCAATGCCAATGCCAATGCCAAAACCACATCACCAGACTCCTACACCATAGTTACGGTACCCCGCGCCCGTCGCGTACACCAATCCTACCTGACTGCGCCTTTCTCTACACTCAACTCCTTCTGGTCTTGTCTCTTGGTCCTGCGTGGTCTTCATCCGGATCAGACCCGGCAATCTCATACAGCGCCGCATCTACCTTCTCCGTATCCGGACCTTATTCTCACCAATGGCCCTGCCACCGCGGTTTGTGTTATCGTGGCCGCCCGGCTTCTTCGTCTATGGCTGTTCTTATGCGGGGCCTTTTCTCCTTTTGCACCCGAAAGAAGGACATCAGAAAGTGACTCTGTGACAGCGCCAGTGCCAGCGCCGGGTACCTACCAGCTGCGCACAATCTTCGTAGAATCGTGGGCTCGCGTGACGACATTGAGTTTGTCGGGTAAGCTCCTGTTGCCTCTGACAGATCGATTCCTGGTGCAGTGGCCCGCATTAGCAGGCAAGAAGGCGTGGCCGGGAATGAGGGAGACAGAATACGTGGGTACACTCATGGATTGAGTGTCTGGTGTATTTCCTGTTTTACAGGCCTTCGATACTTCGATTGCTTTCTGGTGACTTGCGATTTGAACTTTACCTGTACCTATAGACATACTGTACATGATACCCCTTGAACATTGTAATAGACTGTCGGGTCATCCATCATGTTTCCTAGCAACTACAAGCTGTCGGGCCCTATGGGCGATCAGTCGGCGGCGGGACCACATCGAGGGGCCGAACCGAGGTATGGGGACAGTAAGGTTGGCTCCCCTCATTTCTTCTGCATTGTACCTGGCTGCAGTGATCTGGGAAATGAAAGGTCTTGCACAAGAATAATGCTTATGGCTATACTCCCTGTACTGAGTATGATTGGAACTCCAGCAGTAATCCTGAACCTTATAGTAGAAAACGCAATTTAGTGCACCACCCCTGCACCTGGACAAAAAAGGCCGTCTGTCACACGTAGGACGGAGGGTTCCGCGGGCATTAGATGAGCGCCGCCGACATAAGTCCCGATTGACCCCGCTTCGTCACAAGTACTTATCTACTAGTTCGGTATCCTCAGCTCGGCTCAGCTCTGCTAGATCTGCTTCTATCGGTTCAATTACCTATCTAGCCATATAATCATGTATTCTCTGCGCAATCGTGTTGCTCTAATCACGGGTGGTTCACGGTATGTTCTCTCGCCCCGCTGTGTTTACCTCATTGGGATATCCATTGACCATATGTGATGTTTAGAGGGCTGGGTGCTCTTGTAGCCCAAAAATACGCTGCCGAAGGTTGCAATGTCGCCATAAATTACGCCTCGAGCAAAGACGCTGCTGAGAATCTGGCCGCGGAACTTCGAGAGAGTTACAAGGTCAAGGCTATTACTATACAAGGTGTAGGTTGGGTCGAGCGAGATTGACGGACTGCTGGACTGATATCGTGGTTGTATCACTTAGGATGCCGGACTTCAGAGTGACTGCGTCAACGTTGTCAAAACCACCATTGATCAGTTGGGAGGCTTGGATATCATTGTTTCGAACGCAGTGAGTCGCTACTATCCCGGTCCGTGCCAGCAAGTGAACAAGATTGACTGAACGCGTAGCCAGGGATGGACCAAGATGACAAAGTTCGGTGACTTGGACGCTATGGATGACGAGGAATGGGATAGAGTAGGTGTCACAATGGGGGTGAACCCGTTAAAGGAGGGTCGTTGTGGTTTGCAAGGCTAACGGATTCCTTAGTGCTGGTCAATGAACATAAAGGGCCATTTTTATCTTTTCAAAGCAGCACTGCCCACGTTCAACGCAAACCCTGAGGGTGGCGTGTTCCTCCTGACCTCATCTATTGCGGTAGGTCCTCTACGAAGGGCAAACGGTAAGATGCACAAGTGCTAATCCGCGAGACAGGCCGTTACGCCAACTGGAAGCAGCTTGCCATATGCGATCACAAAAGCAGGAGGTAAGCATACCGCAATAAAGACTTCGCACCCCTGTTAACATCAGCAACAGGACTGCACATGGTGAAATGTCTCGCACACACTCAAGGTAGCAAGGTCCGCGTGAACGCGGTGCTTCCGGGCCTTCTCTTGACTGAATGGGTAAGTAGCCCCATTGCAGTTGTAGTGCAACTCGATCGCGGTAGAGCTAATGTGAACCACAGGGTCAGCGCTTCCCTGCCCAAGCAATCGAGGGGTGGACGGCAAAGACAGCCCTTAAGAAAGTGGTAAGGCTATCGATCAACCCCTGCACGGTTTCCGCCTATTAACGAGGTCATGAACAGCCTGAGCTTGAAGATGCCGCTCAAGCATATGTCATGCTTGCGCAGAACACATCTATGACGGGGCAAGAGATACAAATCGGTGAGTGCTCTTGCTTTTGTTGTCTACAACCAAACTAACTCTTCAGATTCCGGCTTCTCCTTCAAATAGAGCAAACGCGGAGCCTTACGAGTAGACTTTCTGAAATGGCATTGGGGACAGGAACGGGTAAATATTGAGTGTGCTAGAGCTGGTATCACGACGTTAGCAATATAGAACACAGATCAGTTTACTTTTATCACCATTCTCCTACACGAGAGGGTTGTAGAACGGTGTATAGCCCACTTCACCAGAGTAAAATGTCCGGTCGCCAACCATCCGAGCCTTGAGAGCAGCGCGAAGAGCGTCGGCATTCGGCTCCCCCTCTACCTTCATCTGGTGTACTTTGATGAGCTTCCCATCTCGCGTGAACACGTAGACGCCCTTCCCCTTTGTAGAATCGATGGGATGCGCGCCATCCACGAATGGCAAGCCTGGGACGACGGAGAACTTGTCGCAGCCTTTGAGTGGTGTTACTTCCTCAAATTCAGTGAAGATAACTCGCCGGTGCTGAAAAGAAGGTTTTTCACTGGAAGCGTTGTTGGCAACCAGGGCCTTGCTCCAGAGGGGACCCAAAACGCGATTTCTTCTGCTGATGTCCAAGGAGGACCAACTTTCCCAATCTATATGCCGGTCCTCGGGCTTAATTTTGGCCGCATGAACCAATTGACCATCTGCTTCAGAGGCTCTCCAGCCTGCATCTTCCACCGGAGGGACGAAGAGTCCTTCCCGTATACCCTTAACGAGAATATCTGCGCCCTTCGGACAAACCAGGCTCAATAAATCGGGTACCGTGCACGTATCGGGATTGGGAATGTCGAAGCCGGGGGCTGGAGTCTGCGCTAGGATCGTGCCATGATCGAAGTGCTTAAGATGGAGCGTCTGAAGGGTAACACCGGTTTTAGTTCTACCGGCTAACAAGGTATGATGTAGCGGCGCAGGGCCCCGGAAGCTTCAATGATGGTTAGCGGGGTCCGTTCGTGGGTCAACTGCGACTGCATACTCGGGGAGTAATGATGGGTGGACATTTAGACCTCCATACTTCGCGCCGTTGAGAAGCCGCGGAGGTACGAACAGCCCAAACGAGACGGCAATTATCAGATTTATAGGACCTCCTGGTAGCATAGGCGGCTAATAGCGTCAGCACGTAGCCACAGCAGGTATCAACGGCTGTGAGTTACCGTCCAGCCCCGAAAAGTATCTATCTCGTGGATCGGGAGCGACAAGTTCGTTGCGGCCGCTTTGATGGGAACTGCAAGATAGAAATAATCAGCTGCGCGAACGCTTGTCAAGCCTTCCCAGATCATTACCCTCGCGGATTTGCTTTAATCCTCTCCCAACCTTCTTTCCTGGTCTGCAAACGACATCAATTGAGGCAATCCGATCCGGTCGCTTGACATGTTCTTCATGGAGAGCTTTCAACGAAGCTATGCTGAAATCGTCGGATCCGCAAAAGAGAATCCGAAGTGGCTCGTAGGCCTTCGTCGCAAGGCATCTACGTGACAACGAAGGGAAAAGACCGGCTCGTCTGTAGACACAGAGAGCTCCCGGCCCCCGCAAGAGAAACATGGTCCAGCAATTGGCGGCAGCGATGTGCGGGTGACGGAACAATCACAGTCGCATCCACAGCAGCTCCGGCAAGTTCGCCGACCTCCCATCTCCACCACGTGATGTCACCGCCGCCCACTACTCCAGTCCGTCTGGCGACAATGAGTATTTCTTACCCAACTGCACTGCTTCACTGTGAGCTGGAGCTCACGGTTCGATGGTGCAATGCCGGAGAATGATTTAGCGTCAGTGGTTCCTGCCCAACTGTCGTTTCTCGCTATATACAACCCCCGCCTCGGTCCGACCGACGAGACAATCCGCGACCAAGTCGTCTTCTATACGTCTCGTTCGAGTCGATCGCGCCGACGTGAAGGCTCCGCGGCAGAGGATGGCGACCAACACTCCAACGATTATTGGAATGAGATACTGCGACAGATAGGACTGGCTCAGGGCATGGTAGGCTTTGCCAGGTGGGATTTGCTATACAATCAACCTACTGCAAACCGACGCTGTACTAATGATCCTAGGAACTTTTCGCAAGGAAAAGCAGTCGATTACGTGGAAACCGAAAAGTCGCAAATTATCCTACATGAGCTTGAAAAGGACTGGTGGATTCTAGCTGTAGGTAGACCTGCGCCACAGCATCACATCAATAGCTGCTGAGCATATTACAGTCTGTCGACCTAACTCGCCTTCCACTTGATCAACCTAGCACATCTTCCTCTCAACGCGATGCCGCGTATCCTTCATTCAGCTATTCTTCAAGGGAGATGTCTCCTCCTGCTTTACTAATTCAACAACTGCGTCGAGCCCACTCCGTCTTTCTCCTCCACCACGACTCTACACTTGACGCCTTATACAGCCGTGTTGGCAGACCCACATTCTGTGCTCTCATCGAAAACTTCTGGTGGAGGTTCTCGTGGACCTGGGAGGTTCTGTTAAGTGGAAACCCTGCTGTTGACATATACAACGGCATCAAGCTCTCAGCTGGGGGTGAACTCGGAATCGGCGTCGGCGAAGAAGAGTGGGGAAGTGGGGAGAGGGAAGTTTTAGAGGACTTTGTTGCCCGCACAGATGGTCTCCTGGACTTAATTGTCTCACGATTCGGTGATCCTGAGTCCTCTGATAAGAATCCGGCAGCAAATGACAGACCTGGAGATTTGCTGAACACAGTTGACGGCGAGGACCGATGGCTTGGCTCAGGAGCCTGCCCTAGGCCAGCAGATGGCGTCATATTCTCGGGAATAGGAGGAGTCTCTAGGCCATCCCTCTTGCGAATCTCACAATGGATGGAATCGATATATAGATACGGCGCCGACGCGTACGGAGTAGGCGAAGACCCGAGCTCACCACGTCGTCGAAAACGGCGAAGAAAGCACCGCAGCAGACTGGCTGGAAGCGATCCCACCAAGCAACCGGTGACGGATCCTCGGGTTGGGACACCCGATCGCCCATTTTCCCCAGGTATACCACCTCCACTCGTGGTAGGGACAGCGGAGTCTCCGCAGGCTCCACAAAAGTCTAGCTCACATACCAGTGGCGAGAGCTCACCAGTAGGAAGTGAGCGAGGAAACGATTGGATGGGATTCAGGACAGAGACGTTTGTGAAGTATCTTACTCTTGGCTATGGCTCGTCTTGGGGGGTTTCGTCAGGAACAGCCAGCCCGCACCCGCGGGTCGAAGCTATAAAGCGAGAAGATAGGCCAATGAGTCCAAACAAACAGACAGACTTGTCCACTGATGCGCCGGGGACCATTGACGGAGAGGCCGCCCAGCCCGATGATGGCAAAAAGATCCAGAGCCGTGGAAAGTTTCTCATTGGCCTGCGTTCTGATAGTGACGATCGGGTCGGAGCTTTGCAAGAAGGCGCTGACCCGACGGACAATCAGACCAGCCTATCTGATAACATAAATCATAGACGCTTGCACATTCAATTGTCGGAGTCTTCAGAGCAAGTTTCAGCAGGTGAGGGGTTCAATACATGGTTAGACCGTCCACAGCTAACCAGCTGCGCCTAAGGCTTAACAGAACTGCAAGCAGTAGTCTACGTTGTATGCCCTCCCCCCCATCCCACAACCTTACAACCAGAGCTAAGAGATTTACAGCATCAACCGTTCATATATACATTTCTATTTGACCCCGCAACCCCGACTCTATCCGATCCGACACTATATCAGAGTATCATACACCAACTCAGCCCACTCCATAAGCCTCTTAGCAATTCAACATCACCTGCAACCGCAGAACTTCGCATTTCCATGTCTGATAACGCCCTCGACATCAACAAGCGATTTTCCGGCAAAAGCCAGCCCGTCTACAACCTAGTCTATGACCAAACAAACTTGACGATCCGATCATCGATCCCAAACATACCAGACCTTGGGTCTACCGTCAACGAACCCCGGGATCCGGCCACACACCCATGGTCGCGCGTGGAGAGCCTCAATATTCACCACCGGCTCTTAAGCACTCACCTCGAAACCCGGTCGCGACCCCTCGAAGTCGAAAGGACCTGCAAGACCAGTCGCGGCTGGTGGATCGTGTGGATCCGAATGTCCGAACCTTCTAGACAAGAACAAGGGAGCACGGCCTCCAACGCCAGCGTCCAGACCAACACAGAGCTGGACACTAATAATGCCCATCAGGAAGCATTTATCGTCCGCAGATCCAGTGACTCCGTCTCTCCACCCGGACACGCACGCAACAGTAGCAGCACTCGATTTTTCCGCGATTTGGGCGGGGCTTCGTCGCCGGGATTGCAGGCATCACGGACAGATACAGGACCGGGGAAACTTGTCGAAGGGCTGGGCCTGGACGCAAGACGATATATTGAGAATCTGCTCAGTTTGAATAGATAAGACATGAGATGATATTTATTACATTTACGACCCAATAAAGAGGCTCGTTTGGTATTACTTGATAGTCACTATCTGCAGTGAATATAGTAGATCATTCACACTGATAGGTGCCACTACCTCCAATACATTGAATACTGAACCAATCAGATGAAAGAGAATAGCAACTGTAACTAGAGACCGAAGACGATTCACTACCAATCCACTCAACGAAGATCATACCCACAAGATCAAACCCACCTACCACAAAGCGAGGAGGAAATAATATATGAGAGACGCTTCACACAATGCATGACATGAGGTAAGAAAGAGCATGAGACATATTGAAGTAGACCCTCCATGTATGGCTCATCGTGCCTTGTTGCAATAATTCATGTTCAATTTGAACTTGTTAAGCTGTATTCACAATATATACAAATCAGAAACTAGTACTGAAAGTCAGTACTACTTAGTAAAGTAGCTCATGATTATGTTGTCTATCAGCATCCACTTATGAAGCATACATAAACCTTGAAAGATGAACGATATCCACTACTATCTATTACTCATAGATAGTAGTTAGGTAGGGAATTGGAACCTAGGTACACAGTGTGTAGATAGTTTGTTACCCCTGAAAAAGATTAGTCCCGTAAGTCACATACAGAACTGCCCGTATGTATGTATGTATGGTATGATTGAAATTGAACGAACTCATTACATACCACATAACAACGTCTTTTCTATTTCTATCACATACTGACTACTATATTACCACCTTTTATCTTCTGCTTCGCTGATATATATATATCTATTCCTTGTTTTTCTCTATCAATTTCCATATATAGATGGGGGATGATGATGGGTGGTGGTTGACTTACGTCTTGACTTCTATCTAGTTCGGCTAGTGTTACTATCAATAGACGCTAGCTATCGGTGGATTTGCATCCCCTTGGCTTGCTGTCTGTCCACCCCCCTTCCCTGTCTGTAGGCTACCGAATATCGCTACATTAGGCTATGGAGTGTTGCTATTTGAGGTAGTATGCGTACCACTCGTCCATTAGGGTGGTTAATGGGACTGGTATAGGTCGAAAAGTACGGGTGCTAAAATAGATGGTTGGGTTGGGAGAATACGCAGTGCATACGCAACAGGATCACAATACGAGAAAGGGGTATGAGAAAATGGTGGATTAGTAAATAGTAACTTAATAGAGGTGCTAGATATTCCTCATGTCTGCTCGGAGACCATGACGATAGAACATGATGCAGTGCAGGTCGACTGGATAGGCTGCAGAACATGTAGGAGAAAACCAAGCCAACGACAAATTCCATGCATTCTCTTTAACCGAAACAGGGGGGAAAACAACAGATTTGGGGATAAGACTGTGCTGAGGGGAATCCGTACAAAGAGAGAATCGGGATAACGATTCTCAACTTCCTTTTCTTTCCTTGGACCGGATCCATTCGAGAGAGTTGACTGATAGGAGAGACATGAGACGAACGCAATCCTCAAATGCTCAATTCCGATCTGCATGCAGTACTCGCGCGTAGCGAGGACGTTTGCTTCGAAGGCAACCTGGCGCCCTTCTTTGCCATAGTGACCGAGAACCGTCCCGTTGGGCGCCTATTTAGTGCTGGAACCGATAGGAAAGAAGAAGAAAAAACCCACGAGGTTATGAAGACAACGCCTCCCTAGAAAATCAAATCAAGTCTGCAAAATAGAAAAACTCGACCAACTGCATAGCCAGATATCCCATGAAGCTCATGTGCCCGTGATTGAACATTATCCACACTCGCATCCGGGCACACATAGTGGAACACGCCAACGGAATGACCCCCTCTTAAATAGATAGTAGAAAACCAAAGGTGAGACGCTTATCCGTTCATATAATCTCCGCATGAAACAGACCTTTTGCGAAGGAGAGAAAACTAGTTTACAGGATGGTGCACTTCTTCTTGCTCTTGTGCGTCTTGGTCAATAGGGCAGCCCGGGTGGCAGCCTCAAAGACCTCGCGGACACCCTCGTTGGTGCGCGCAGAGCACTCAAGGTACTTGTAAGCACCGATCTTCTTGCGAACCTCCTCACCCTAATCGCATATTAGCCGCTATCTCAAGGGATAATGCATCCTCTTGGTCGTGTGCCACATACCTGCTCAGGGGTAACCGGCTTCTGGGAGGTCTTGTGAAGCTCCTCAATGGTCTTGGGGTCATGGCGCAGATCCATCTTGCAGCCAACGAGGATGATGGGAAGTCCCTGGCAGAAGTGAAGGACTTCAGAGATCCACTGTAATCATGTTAGTTACCTGGAGGGCAGAATCTTTGCCCATATGCCCGCCAAGGAGACCAGGCATGTGACGGAGAACTAACCTTCTCCTGGACGTTGTCGAGGGAGTCGGGAGAGTCAACCGCGAAACAGATCAGGATGACATGGGAGTCAGGGTATGAGAGGGGACGGAGACGGTCGTAATCTTCCTGACCAGCCGTATCCCAAAGGGCAAGCTCGACGTGCTTGCCATCGACCTCTACGTCGGCGACGTAGTTCTCGAACACAGTAGGGACGTACACCTAAAGCGTAATAGGGTCAGTTTGATAGAAGCGGAGTGTTTGACCGGAAGGCTATCCAGATAACTCGGATTGACGATGGGGGGGTTGGAAAGACGGCATTAGGGATCAGGCCAGGAGGGTCGGTGGAAGCTAACCTCAGGGAAGGTACCCTTGGAGAAGACACTGGTCGAAGAAGAAGCCAAAGTCAGTTCGCTGTTTGATCCCTACCCAGCAAAGAATGGAAGAAGGGGAGGGTACTCACATCAAAAGACAAGTCTTACCGCAGGCACCATCGCCCACGATGACGAGCTTGCGGCGGATTTCAGCCATCTTTCAAAGCGTGGAGGATTAGCAAGGGAGGTAGGTGAAGGTGAGTTGAATAGAAATAAAGGGGGATGATGTGGGTGAAAGAGTGGACAACAACAACGAGCGAGGTGGGAAGCTGTTGCAGGAGTGGATGGATGGGGGTGTGTGGATGGGGGAAGTTGAGAGTAGAGAAAGGGACAAGTCAGGCGCCCGAGGAAAAGGGTTATCACGTACGGTGCAGGGGAGTCGTAGGCGCAACGGGCGCGGACTAAAATATTCAGGGAGGGAAAGGTAGGGTGAATGGGCGAGCCAAGAGTTTCCAGTAATAAACCCAACAAACGAGTTTACGAGGAAAGAATGGCAAGAAAGAGAGAGAAAAAAAAGAGGAAGTTCCCAGGGGAACAATAATGAAGAAAGGAGGAGAAGGTTGTTGATAGAAGGATGGAAGAGGAAGAGAGGGAGAAAGAGAGAGAGAGAGGAGAAAGAGAGACAATGCTTGGTGCAGCTGGATTGGTACTGCTGCTGCTTTGCTGCTGGCGTGTGTATGGGTCAGTTATCGGCGGTTGGCCCCAGGGCTGGCTTTTGGCTCCTCCTTCGTTTGGGCGACGTTCAGTTCTTTTCGTTTTCCCCCCGTCCTTTCAGGTGAGGCTCCCTGTTCCCGAAAAGTAGGTGACTAAGGAAAGGAACCCGACCAAACCCAGACTAGAAGGGCCTGAAACGGTTGGCAAGCGACATTTGGCCCAGCCCCATCCATCTTTCCTGGTGAAAATGCTATGTGGCTGTGAAAGCCAGTTGGTTCTTTTATTATTTTATTTTGATTTGATTTGATTCACATGATGACGATTTTTATTTCCCACACACTCTCCCCTTTCCCTCAATCTCCCCATTCATGTGATTCGATTAATTGATGATTCTCTCTATTTCTCTCTCTCTCGCGGTCTCTCTCTCCTACTGTATGTAGATGGCTACTAGAAAACAAAAGGCCAAAAAAAAAAAAAGACAAAAAAAAAAAAAAAAAAAAAAAAGAAAAAAAGTTTCATACTTGGGAATGACGTGATATGCTTTCCCAGTCTCCTCAGTAGGACACAGTACAGTTTGATGGCTTGTATCGCATTGGAATTTTAATAATGGTTTATGGGCCAACCAGGATGAGAGAAATCGGGATAATCTTTCCACACCCTTTCTTCTTTCATTTTCATTTTCATTTATTTTTCATCTTATTTATCTCTCTACAAGTGTCATCTCCTTTTTCTTCCATCTACTTCCCTCCTTTTATCAGGCAACGTTTTTGGTTTCGCTCGTGACCCCAGCTTGGCTCCTTCGTACAATGCTGCTGCTTACTTAGCTGCCTAGTTTGGTCTGCCTTCATTCTCCGTCGAAGCCACCGTGGCTGAAGACTAATGACAGGGTAAACGCAGTAATAATCGACATTACCTACGGGTATCAGTGGCACTTACGTATTGTCGTGGCCCGTGTTTACGACTATGTATTTCCCAGGCATTCAGCCCAGTCAAGCTTCATCCAATTTCCTCCCCTGTAATAATCGAGCTCCCTTCTTGCTGCTATTAAGAGTCGACCTAACTAGTTCTTCGGTCCATTTCGGCTGCGTAGCAGTAAGTATCTTAGTAGCCTAAGTACTGAATAGTTGTCAGTCGTCAGACTGCGTTACCTTAGCCTTCTTCTATATTCCGCAGGCTTATCTTCCGAACGATTTCGAAAGGGGGAAATGCAAAAAGTCAAAAAGTAAACAAAATCCCCTCCTACAGTTCGAGGCCATGCAAGATTAATATGATTCGTGATAGTACTAGTAACATTGTCCATTCTACAACTGCAATAAACGAGCTCCCGTCGACACCATAGTTACCGTCGCCATAGTCGGAGAGAGCCTAGAAGCCTGTGGGCGCCCCCAGAGAGTCGGAGCTGTCGGGTGTGACTCCATACTTCTCCTAATCGGCGGTGTCGCGTCCCTCCGGTTGTCTGGGTAAGCTGCCACAGTATTTTGTATGTGTTCCTCTCGCTTTCGTGCTCCAACATTTAGATAGCGATAACCAAGCCAGCGAATTCCAAGGTTAATGCAGTTTTCGGGAAGTCAAGCAATTCCTCGATTCGCTATACTCATTCGGGTCTTCCCTGCATGTTACCCCAGCTTTTTTCCTTGGACAGGCATACCGGCTGGATTTCACTCTATGCATCTTGGATCACTCATTACATCGTGCTACACCATGCACGGAGTACTCCGCCCCAGGGAATAACATCATAGTCTGCAGCTCGAAATGATGTAGACGGCTGGTGGTCGAAGGGATAACCCAAAGACGATAACCCTGCAGGCGCCCTATCTTCACCCTGATTCGTTCCATTGCGGATGTCCTGATAATCCAAGACTGAGAGTGTGCCTAGTACCTACTGTACGGTCTGCATTGGCGATCCGAGTATAGCCAGGCAGCGGTCAGATTGCTTTTTCAACAAACAACTCATCACCAAGCCAGCCCTTCTGTGAAAATTAAAAATGGAGATTTGTTCTGAAAATTCGCCTGCAATTTTTAAAAGAATGACAGACCATCGGCACTTCAAGATAACTGTCGGACCTTCCGAGGGGATTAGGCTTAGCCTGGAAGGAGTAACCAAAGGTACGTACTTCTGGTGCGGTATGATGGTAATCTTCCAGACCCGCTAGGGGGGGAGATGCTTCCTTCAATTACCGACAGCAAAGAGACGTGGCGGTGCAATTGATCGACATGTTCTTTACCCAACCGGGTCGGTACGTATATTCCTCCAGTGCAAACGTCATCCTCCTCTGGAAGCAGGCAACTCCTTTATTCCTTTCATATTATGAATATCAAACCAGATCGAGTGTCATAAAGACGCCGAGGATCACGGAGTATATCGTCACCAACCCAAATAGCTGGTTGTCAAGTGGGGTGATTGTCACCGTACTTGAGACTCAGCAAATGGACGGCTGACGTTTCGTATGCGGAATGCGGAAGTGCAGGAAAGGTGCTGCAAGCCTGCGGCCGAGACGCTTTACTTCCACTACGGAGTCGATTTTCCGTACTCTCCGAGGTCTTTCGTGCGGAGAAAGCAGCCATAGATAACCTGCCACGGCCTTCTGGGTCTAGTTGCAGTACCAGAGCAGGTCCTGTGCACCTACAGAGTACATGATTTTCTGTGCCCTGAGTCAGTCCTTTAGAAAGAAAACGCTAATGAATTGTTGCTGGTTCAGTCTTGTTCCTGGCTGACTTGGCAGGCTGTTGTTTCGTCTGACCGAACCTGCTTATCACCTACTGATCGTGTCAGATGCTGTGCCGAATCCAATTGGAGATCTGTAACTCTCAGCAGTGGTAAGACATGATCGGTGACACCGTTCCCAGAGATCCGCTACATTGGCATTTGCCCTACAGGAGACTTCTTGCAGTAAGGATGGCAGTCTTCGATGAATTACGAATCTACACGGTTGTATGCCAACCCACTTTACAGTGGCGATGAATTTGGACGTTGAATTAGGTGGCTCATGAAAGTGTACCTTCCTGCAGGATCTACTCAGTACCTCACACATCAGTGAACAAGTCATCACGCGAGAGATCCCTGCGTTAGCTCGCCGGTGATCTCACAAAGCAGAGTACATAGTGGGACGCTGAGCATGGACTGGAGACACTATGTTGTTGCCTGCTACGGATACCTATATGCCAATGATGGCATACCCCTTGTGCCTACGGAGTAGACGAGGATGACGGTCGTGCCATGAAGACCACAACTGATGTGAGGTCGGTAGATTCTAGAACAATCGAGATACCATGTTATGGTATCAATATAGCAGGAATAAGTAGTTGGTGTTACTCCCTGGGAGACTATGAGGGTAAGGCCAGCCTTTTAGGTTATTATGTTTCTCGGAGGTAGCATAGTCTATTTGCAATATGCCACGCTCTTCTGTCTTTTGATATATAAAGCGGGCTTTTTACCAATAGCACCGTACACTGAATGCTGTGAAGGAAACGCCCAATATTGCACACATTCCCAAACAAAGATGGTATAACTAGACCTCGAACATGAGCGATGGTCTTAAGTATTTGTTGCATCTCACCTATGCTTATTGGACAGTCCCGTGACATCGAGACATGTGTGCTCTGCAGGAGAAGCCTGTGATTTTCAGTCCCCATCAGAGCTCTTTTAGCCTGTATGGTTTGGGGGATACTGATGATGCTGCTTCATCTCGGTACTGGACAATATTCCTCTTTGCTCCTGGAGTATATAATGGTGAACTTCACGCTGCAATATCTTCCGTATTACCGAACTCATTCTGTTCGAAGCTTAAAGAGCATCCTGTCTCGATCGGACGGGCCATAAAGATATAGACTTGGGGAGTACATAGCTAGTACTAGATTGCACGTGCTGCTTTTGCCGCCGTAGCCCAGTTTTCTTGGAAGGTAGCTGCTGCATTCCTGCTAAAATGTACCCGAGCGTTCAGTGCTTAAGATATATCATTTTCAAAGACTGCTAGGCAGATATCCACCAGCAAATGTTGTGACGAGACAAATTCCAGTGTACATACTTAGTACTGTTTCGGAACCCCATGATTTTGTTTCCCCATTGGCTCTCCATAGTCCCGGTCACGTGCACAAACCAGGGCCGCAATTTTCCCTCCCGAGCATCTCTCAAGGCTTCCTGGTGACTCCGCGGAAACAATCGGCCATTGCTGGGCAACAGTCAAGATGCAGAAGGTCATTCGAAGGACCGCCCTGGCGCGGAATCAGGCCCAACGGAAAGCAATTCGAGCCACCAAAGCAGCTCAACGCGAGGATTTGAAGGACAGTCTAAGGCAGCGCTTTGCCTACAACCGCATCGAGCTCGATAACCTCCGCGCGGAGAGACAGCGACGCCGTGAAGACTGGCTCCGTGGACCTCTGGCTCCTCAGCGCGATGCCGGTCTCGAAGGGCGGCTCTTCGGTGCGTTAAGCCCTCAGGCAATGAACCCTCCGCCTGTCCCGGAGCACTTGCGGAGAAAGTACATCAACATCGCCCCCGGTGACCGAGTATGCATCATGAAGGGCAAAGACAAGGGCAAGATCAACGAGGTTACTAGGGTGGATGCTACAACCGAGACTGTTGTGGTTAAGGATCTCAACATGGTATGTAAACCTATCTGAAGTAACCACTGTTCCTTTCGCTGATCCTTGGGCTTTCCAATAACAGGCCGATGTCCATTTCCCCGACTGGCTGAATGAGCAGTATGGCAACTCGAGCCCCTTCCAGTCCGTGAGCCTGCCTCTTTCCATCGACGATGTTCGCCTGGTCGTCGCTCTTGATGATCCTGTCACCGGCGCCACGCGAGATGTATTGGTCGAACATGTCCGCGGTGGAGAGCCTTTCCTCGAACGCGAGTACGGTACCGAAACGCCCCGACACACGAGATACATCGCCGGTGAAGACATTGAGATTCCTTGGCCCCGAAGTGACCCCGCCGCAATGAAGGATGAGGCCTGGGATACGCTCCGTATGGAAGTCGAAACGCCCACTTGGATGCCGTCGTTGCACTACGCCCCATTCCCTCCCAGCGTCCTGGACGAACTTCGCAACAAGTTTTCGAAGTACAGAACGAGACACGATGAGGAGTGGGTGGAGGCCAGGAAGATGGAAGACTACAGACGGGAATATCTTCAAAGCCGGTCTTTGTTGACACCCAGAGGTGAATTCTTGGCCATGATTCAAGCCAAGAAGCAGGAGCGCCAGAACGCGAGGAAGGATGCCAATGGAAATTACATCCTGGATGATAAGACGGTCGGATTCATTGAGAACTTCATGAAGGAGAAAGCGACCAAGAAAGCCTAATTGCCTGCTGGGATTTCGTTTGGTGTTCCGACTTGTGGGAGAGTGCGCCTGGGTCTTTTCTGTTTCTGTTCAACTTTTCTTTTTTTCCCAATGGGTGTACACAATTATACTACTGTAGCATAGAATCCGAATGTATAAGATGAATATGGATAGACAGCTGCCCTGCAGCACGAAACTGTAGGCCGATTTGAGTACCGTTACATCCGTCGCAAGAAGACTGGACGTGGGAGCGATCGGACCCAATCTTTGCGGACTACTTTGCCCCAAATGCGCTTGAAATTATGGATGCGCGCGCCCACGGGTCGACAGGGCCGCCAGGGGAGGTCTGCAGCTGCGTTCCTGCTAACTACTTACTTACCTTCTTCATCCATCCGATCCGCGTCCCGGTTTACCCATTTGCTCCCCCATTCAACTTCCTTTGTTCAGGGCGGCCTCAACTGTTTTGACTTACGCAGATTCTATATATAAGCGTCATTGGGGCTGTCACCTTCCACAGCATGGCTTTTGCCACGATCAACTCATCAGTGCCGTCCAACATCCCGGCCATTGAGGACGCTTTTGCCGCCGAACCAGCGCTCAAAAAACGGGTTTACGATGCGATCGGTGCGTATTATGTCGCTTAGGACAACAATCTACATTCACCCCACAACCCCATAGAAGGTGCAAGGTCTGCCGGCTGACCCTCTTATCCTGTAAACAGCACATACCCCGCAACATGGACTTCTCTTCGAAGATATCGCGAAATATACCTCCAGCCTGCTGGCCAGGACTGCAACCGCCCCCGTTCGGCCTGTCGAGGTCGTCAGCGACGGCCCAGCCATGAAGAAACGAAAACTACAGAATGGCAATGCTACAAGTGCCCAATCTTCCGGCGATTTGAAATCCGATACTTCGCTCCAGTTCTACATGCAGGATGTTTCCTTTGCTGTTCCCCAGCGGAAGAAGCTTACGCTAGAAGTCACTGCCGGATTTTTACGTGCGAGAAACCAGACATCGAAGGAGGTGGAGTTTGGTGTACCTTTGGATAACATACGTATGTGTAGAACTATGGTTGACGGAGGTGGTGTCAAGGCTGACAACGTTGCTGGATCCGAACAGAGCATGTCTTGTGCCTCCCCGTTCCCGAGAAGAACCAGCGACAATTCAATTTTTGCATCATCCCTCAATATGCGGACGGCATCAACTCACCGCCTGAAGGTGTAGCTGCTCCCGATGCCATCGTATGGACGGTCAACGACGGGCTTCCCAAGGCAGCGTTCTCAGGCAATGGACAACAGCTTGGAACGGATAACGAAGAAACGGCAGATAAACTTGTCCAGCGGATATTGAACGACAGCCTCCCGCGGACCAAGGTTGTGCGCCCGGATGAGCGAGAGTTCGTGAGTGCTATGCCTGAGGCTCATCGCAAGGGGGAGAAGGCCTTTCATGTCAAGGCCTTCCGCGGCAGTAAAGAAGGTATCGTTATGCCCGCCGTGCTCTTGCCCTACGTCCCCGTAACTAAAATTATTCTATCTCAGGTTATCTCTTCCTCCTCTCTACGGGAATACTATTCGGGTTCAAGAAACCACTGGTTTTCTTTGCCTTTGAAAACGTCGACTCAATCTCATACACATCTGTCCTGCAGCGGACCTTTAATCTCAATGTTGTAGCTCGTCCTACGTCAAGCGAAGAGACGCAGGAATTCGAGTTTTCCATGATCGACCAGGCTGACTTTTCCGGAATTGATGGTTACATTAAAAAGCATGGCCTGCAGGATGCCAGTCTTGCCGAAGCACGGCGTGCGAAGCGATACAACGTCAACGGTGCCAAGGGAGAAGATGAAGCTGCAGCCAATGAGGAAGGAGCCGTCGAGGAGGAAAGTGAGCTTCAAAAAGCCCAACGCGAGCTGGAAGATCAAGAGGATGAGGACGAGGAAGATTATGATCCCGGGAGTGACAGTGACAGCGACGGAAGCGGCTCTAGCAGCGAGGAGGATGATGATGATGAGGACGATGAAGGCGACATGGAAGAGGACGACGAAGGAGACCGAAATCTGGTGGCGGAGGAGCTCGGAAGTGAAGCGGAAGATGTTCCGGCAGAGGAACTGTGAGAGACCGCCTTTATATCGGAACTGTTGCTGTATGAATAAGTGACTCTTGCTATGGTCACACCAACACTTTTTGTGCGATGTGATGATATGTATTCGACAATCGCGTGGCTAAGCCATTGTACTGGAAGGGCAGCCCGTTACACTACACCAGGCCACTCGAACGTATGAATTTTGGGGGCGATTTAGGCCGGACTATGCCCCTGCATTATCTGGCATACGCGCCTGTATGCCGTAGAGTTTTACCAACGAGGCATTCCACGTCTGATGTAGTTGGGGGAGGAGAAACCGTTTCAAGGCTGCATTGAATGCGTTTCAAACGGGCAGGCATCACCACAAGTTCAATCGATCAGAACAAACCAAGCACAGGCATCCAGTGAGATGTGGGTCATGGACGTGTCAGATGCATCTGAAATGGACGAGCCACTGGTGGATGTGCTACGGAGTTGCAGGATGCCCGGCTGTGCGGCGCAGTACTTACTTAGTAGCGACTTTTCATGGGAAGTCAGCCCTCCATGGGAAATCCGATCATGACGGCCGGTTACTTCTTCGAGAACGCTTCGAATCCTCCATATTATTGAAAAGTGGTGGAAGCCGCCAACCCAATTGGGCTCTTCGGAAGCACCCTTGTGCTATCACAGCCCCCAAATCCCACTCCGATACCTTGTACCAATGAAATCATCAGGTCGATACCTTGATAATGAGGACACTGCGGAGCAAAGTCATCCTCGTCCTACTCCTCGTTTGGAAAGGGTGGGGAGGGGAGTGTGGATGAGTATTAAGTCTAGTCTCCTAATTCTCAGGTCACTCAGAGACTCCGTATCTATTAAGTATCTACTAGCTGGTAGGGGCCAGGTAAGTACGGTATGATACATAATTTTCCCCAATACGACACCTATCTACCACTAGCAGCTACCGAACACTTTACTAGTAGTAGTCCGACTACTATTTGAAGTAGCTCGATTGGTTGCCCTGAGCGTCAGGTTGGGTTACAGACTGGTCAGGGGCAGTGCCAGCTCAGCGCAGGTACCTTCAAAACCCCCCTCAAGGCTTTTTAGAAGCAGTCCGCAGCACCTCACTAGTCACTAGGCAGATTAAGAGCGATTAGCCGCTAGGAGCGAGCTGACAGACTGTCACTGTCAAATATAAATGATATATATGGGGCGTTGTTTTAGCTGGATTGACAGCTACGATCGCTGGCGATTATTGGTAGAGAAGGGGAGAAGGGAATTGGACCGCTGTGTCGGTTAGGTTACTTACTTTCTCAACTAGCAAGAACAAAGTCAGTTAGGTTGGATAGTATACGATCTTACTTACCTAGGAAGTTATTATCTGCGCCATTACCCGCAGCTTGCGGCCAGCTCGCATCCTCCTGCGCAGGTACTCAATTCTGGGTTTAGGGGTCCTGGGGTTAATTGTTGCTTGCTTGTTCCGGAGTAGAAATCCGATTGAGGGAGGGTGTGTTCCGCAATGTGATTCGATTTATTGAACTACTGATCGGATATACGGTCCATAGATGAAGTAAGTCAGTAGATACGTAGTAAGTTAATTAGTTACTTAGGCATGTGTTGTCTTTTCATGAGCTCCTCTGCTCCCAAGTCAAGTAGGCTATGTTCCGAAGGGAATAGATTGACTGATACGCCACGTATGTACCTGAAATTACATTACCATGCCCAAATCGGCTAGACTTTGATGGTCCATTTCCATACTGTATATCGTTCATTCCTCGGTCAAGGGAGCAACAACAACCTAGGCACAGGGGGTAACAAGTGCGAGTTATGAAAGTATAGTAGTCAACCGGAGTGATTCCGGCATAATAAATAGTCAATAGAAAACTAGCCCTCAACGTCAATTGTGGTGACTATATAGTTATTCTTAATAGTATCTATATAAAAAGAAAAATAAAAAATAAGAAAGCATTAAATGAAATGGATCCCTTTTGCCCACCGCGAGTGAACCCCCGGGGGTTCCATGTTTCTTTTTATTTTCCCTCCTTGTTTTGGTGCTGGAGCTTTTGACGACACACTTAGACAGCGCCAGCCCCATGTGGCACCGGGGGAGAGGAGAAAAGGTAACAATCGTACCATCGAGACCACCGCAATAATAAATAATCATAATAATAATAGCTTTTTCCATCTGGGCCAGAATCCACTGCTGGCGTCTACTAACCGGAGTAGTGCCCGCTTTCAACCGTTCATCGCCCAAACAGGCTGAGCGCTAGCGGCGCCGCTAGTAAAGGTCCCTGGGTCAGGGCGATTCCGAGTCCAGGATAGAATTTGGGAGGCGAATAAGCGCAATTGAAGTCTGCAACTGGATCCTTTCATTGGCTCTCATATTGTATCCAGAGTTTTCTTCACTTCCTTGGGTTCAACCGTTTCCAGTGTCTGGTAGACGTGAGAGACACTCTGGGGTAATCTGAAAATTGGAGATCTTGTCTCACACACCTAACCTTACCCGATCAGCAAGTGGTGGTAATAGTAGTACTTCATTGGGAGAGAGAGAGTGAGAAAGTGAGAGAGAGGTATGTGGGATTGGAAGGACAGATGAATGAATGAATGAAGAAATGCATGGGGCCCTCCGGATGTCTCAGTGTAATCAGGTACCATACCCGTACTCCCGATTACCGCCCTTCATCCCCTATCGATGGGGCCTTTCCGGCTCGAATCGCCTGCACTAGTTAATACCAGTTACCCAGTTGTTACCATCGTTACCACGAGAAAAACCGGGCGGAAGCGCCCCATTTCGAAGGGCGGGCGTCATCGGGTTTCGACTTTCTTGAGTCGTTCGACAGGTAAGTAAGTTACTTGATTTTACTTACTTTACTTACTTGAACTAGTAGCCGATACGGCTGTTCCGTCATGACCTGACCAAAACCCAGCAAAGGAACCAGACCGGACCAGACCAAACCTCTCTCATCCAACCATCGCCTCTCTTGTCGCGCTCTCTCTCTCTCTCACCCTCTCCTCCGTCTCTCTCCTCTTCCTCTTCCTCTTTCTCTTGCTCCTCCTGCTATTCTCCGCCTCATTTCTTTCCCTTTTTTCCCTTTCCCTTTCCCTCCTCCCTCCCCCATTGGCAGGTCGTAGCAGTTGTAGTTCATGCCATCGGCGTGTTCACTGCTCACCTAGGTCCTCTCTACCTACTCTTCCTCCCGTCTCCATTTCTCCTATCACTCTTCTTTCCCTTCTTCCTTCCCTCTCTTCCTCCCTCCCCTTCGACGGCGCCCTCCAATTCTACATCTACCACTGCCTGCCCAGTGCGTTTTTGCCGTACTGCCACGCGGTTGGTCGGTAGTAGGGGAATTTTCTTTCCTTATTTTTTTTTTCCCTCCCTCCCTCCTTACCCCTTCTCGATTAATTCCTTTTTTCCCAAAATCGAAACATTTTATTCCTCGTCCCCTTTCCGACGAGCGCACCCTTAACTGTCAGCCTGCAGCCCTCAAAGCTGTCGGTTCCCCGGAATACCTTGTTCTTCCCTCTCCCGTCACCCTTCTTGCCAACGCCGTCCCAAGGGTGCACCCTATTCCCTCCTCGTCCAAATTCACCGGTGCGATTGTTCGAGCGACTATCTATCTCGCCGTCTGCGGTCTCCGATTTGTCGTCCGTCCGGGTTCCGTGATTGCTGTACTCTGGGGTTCTTTTTCATGAATGGTTCGCATTGGTACCATCGGGCTTCCTGTAAGACTCCGGTCGCCTTTCCCCCCCTCTCTCAGCCTCTCGCCCCAGGGCCCGCTACTAGACCTCATTTCTTTCGACATTCATTTTCTCTTGTCGATTATTCTGACCCATCTGTCAGGCTAGTCTCACGTGTAACCGCCGTTGATCGAGTGCTCTAAGCCTACCTTCCCCTTCTCTCAGCCCCTGTCCGCGGTCTCTCAACGTCCCTCCTCCCCTCCAACTACCGCAGTCATGGCATCCTCCTCGTCCAACGTCGTCGGTGTTCACTACCGAGTAGGGAAGAAGATCGGTGAAGGATCGTTTGGTGTGATCTTCGAGGGTACGAATTTGTTGAACAATCAGCAGGTGGCAATCAAATTCGTATGTGATATTCTTGACGGCACGCGTCTACGTTTCGCCATACTAATGGTACTAGGAACCTCGCAAGAGTGATGCACCACAGCTTCGTGATGAATATCGGACATATAAGATCCTGGTCGGATGCCGTGAGTATACCCTGGTTGCAATTGTGTTCGTAAGGTTTCCCGGTTCTGACTGGTTGCAGCTGGCATCCCCAATGTCTACTACTTCGGGCAAGAGGGTCTTCACAACATCCTGGTTATCGACCTGCTCGGTCCCAGCTTGGAAGACCTCTTCGATCATTGCAACCGACGCTTCTCGATCAAGACTGTTGTCATGGTCGCTAAGCAGATGGTGCGTACCCCGAACAATCATACTGTATGGGTGTTCATACTAACATGCTTCAAAAGCTTTCGCGAGTTCAAACCATCCACGAGAAGAACCTAATCTACCGTGATATCAAGCCCGATAACTTCCTCATTGGTCGTCCGAACACCAAGGCTGCTAATGTGATCCACGTGGTCGATTTCGGTATGGCCAAGCAGTATAGAGATCCCAAGACGAAGCAGCATATTCCCTATCGCGAACGGAAGTCGCTGTCCGGCACAGCCCGTTACATGAGCATTAACACCCACTTGGGACGTGAACAATCGCGACGTGATGACCTCGAAGCTTTGGGCCACGTCTTCCTGTACTTCCTCAGAGGTGGCCTCCCCTGGCAGGGTCTCAAGGCCGCCACCAACAAGCAGAAGTATGAGAAGATTGGCGAGAAGAAGCAGACCACCGCAATCAAGGATCTTTGCGATGGATTCCCAGGTGATTGCGTCTCTTTCCCTTTTTTTCGAGTAACCAAAAATCACTAATCAGATGGCTTAGAAGAATTCACAAAGTACCTAACTTATGTGCGCAACCTCGGCTTCGAGGATACCCCCGACTATGATTACCTCCGGGACCTCTTGACACAGGCTCTCAAGAATGCCGGAGAAGTCGAAGATGGCGAATATGACTGGATGAAGCTCAACAATGGAAGAGGATGGGAGTACAAGTCCTACTCGTCTCAACAGCACCTCCACAACAACGCCCTTCCCAACACCTCTGCTCGCGAGCTACACGCACAGCAGCTTCGCGGCAGTCGGCCTGGAGTGACTGCAGACCGTTTAAACGCCGCTCAGCCCCCGCCCCCGTCCCCGGCCAAGCCCGGAGCTGGCAAGACACGCGACCGGCCAAGCGTCTCAGGCGGGATGCCGCCGAAGCGTCAGAGCGGGGGCCTGGATGCCACGCCGACAGCATCGACTCAAGCACAGTTTCAGAACTCCAATGCCAACATTCCGGGACGCCTGGACAGCCCTGCGAACCCGACGAAGAACAGCCAACAAGGCCAGGGCGCTCAAGGAAACAATGAGCCGCAGCCCACGTTCGTCCAGAAGCTGATGAAGGCGCTTTGCTGCGGTAGGTGATCCATGTGCCATACCGCAAGTTTCTACGCCTTTTCCATACTTATAGTGGGATATCCAGGTTGATGCGAGGATGAGCGTGGAATTCTACCGAATTCTCTATGAATCACCTGGTCATGTTGGCTTCTCGACTTTCTTTCGTTATTTCTTGTCTTCAACATACTTGGGAGGTTTGAAAGGCAGCATGCGATTATACTGTGTTATAGCCCGGGAACTCCCCATCCCGTTGTACGTGTTCTTGCCGACGCAGCTGCTGTTGCTGCTGCTAGTGCAGGTGAACATGATGTTGGCTTTGGGGAGCGTGGATATATTGTTCTTTTCCTTATTTGTGTCATCCATGGGTCTCGGATCAAGAGCACCTGGCTCCAACCCGCCTGCTCTCGCTCTTTCTCTCTCTCTCTCTAATCTGCCAAGGCAACATCAGCTCGAAATGCGTCGGCCTTCGATTTAGAAACGACCCTCCCACGTCTTTCTCATCATCACCCTCGTCATCTCAACGCTCTCTTTATGGTGCTACGGCTCGGAACGGCGAACCTGATCAGTCCTGCTTGTGTCATTGCATTTCTTTTCTTCCTCTCTTCCTCTTATTTCCTTCGTCCCGCATTCCCGGCACGAGCCATTTAATACTAGAGTTCCGTCTTGTGTTTGTCAGAGTACATGATCAGTGCCCCGAACCTCTTACCTTTCCCTCTTCGACCCGTCTCTTGACATCTACCACTCTATCACGTCGGGTCTCTCGTGGCTGGTCTTTCGATGGTAATTTTAATGATGTGGCAGAAGGGCGTTTGGCATTTGGTGGAAGTCCTCGCGTGTCGTCCGGGCAGACACTGATTTACAAAGCATTTTTAGCATTTAAATGTTTGAATATGCGGCCCCGTGGAATGCGTGTGCAGGACCAATTGAGTCCTCGGTCAAGGAGTTCATGCGATAGCGGCCTGCGGCTGTTTCTGTTTAAATTTTTTTCTTCTTCTTTTTCCTTTCCTCATTTCCATTATGTGTCGCTTTTCACGCGCATTTGCAAGGAATCATTCGGATGTAGCCGTGTGTTTTGTTGGATTTGTACTTGTTCCTATTATGCTCTCTGCCGTTGTCAGTTCCAAAAACAGTTGATTCACCAGATTCGCCTGGTTCTTTCGTCCTTTTCTTTTTTCTTTCTTTCCGTGCTCGAAGGGTGTGACGAGACGTCTGCTCGACCCCTGTTGGTCGAGGGACTACAAAGGGGGAGGGGGGTTGAGCAGTAAATCAAGCCCTGTGTCGGCCTCGATGACTTTTGCGTTCCAGAGTCTACAGCAAGCTGTGCTATATATACGATGAAGCAAAGTGGCAGGTGACAGGGGAAAGCAGATATACCGGAGAGGAGACAGGGAGCATATGCATTCAGCACGGCCGTGGGAGTTGTATATCGAAGACGGGGCTCGATTTCCGTAGAGTAGTATCGTCTTTTGGGTGTCAGGCGTGTGAACATGGGCGTGTTAGGGGTGTTTCTTTCTTTCTTTCTTTTCCATTCGAGGATACCTACTTTTACTACTGCTGCATAGTAGTACTACTTTAAACCCCATTAGATAGATCTTCTAATATACAGTTCTATACCAATCACCTACCATCACTTGAACCACAACATAAGATTCCTAACTCTCCATCCCATAGAGCAGCCAACATTGTATGCATGCTATCTACTTATCAATGTTGACAGCAGTAGACCTTCCTCCCTAAACCCAAGTAAACCACCATCGACCAACCAACTACTACCTCCCCAGAAATCCAACAACATCTGTCAGATACTATAACTACGAACTCTTACTACATCCATCGCCAAGACCAAACACGGCACAGCAGTGAAAGCCAACCAACCAGCCAGCCAGCCAGCCAGCCCTATCTACGGAGTCCTGCCTATCCTTAACCCTGCAGGCCAAGAAAGACGATATTCCTTCCCGCTATGACATGATGACATGACATGACATGACCTCCATAACCCCCATGCCACTTCCCCCCCTCCTTGTATGAGCTCTTACACGTAGACCATGACATGACTATCTATCGAGCAAAGCAAGCAACAAGCAAGCAATCAAATTGAAGTAAAGTATCAACGT